TTAGAAACCACATCTGTAGTGCAGGCACATTTTGCTCTCCATGATGGGCTATTCTTTTACTGGTGTTGCGTGTATAACATGCATGGCATGGGCAAGCATAGATGGTTTGTAATCTTGTATCACTGGAGGGATCTCTTGGGTCAATGAGAACACAGCTCTATTTGGATATTTACATATGTAACATGTACATTACAGGGGACCTGCTAATATAGTTGATAAAGCATTGGATTTAGCATCAGAAGACAGGAATTTGAGTCCCAACTCTGACACTAGTAATATTACTATGGGTAAGTTAATTGCAGTTCTCTAATTCTCTTTATCTGTAAAAAAGGTAAAGTTTCCACAATTTATCTTACCAAACTTTGTAACAAAATATATGATGCAATTTGTAAATCCTAAAGTATTATATATGTGTAAGCTATTATTTCAATAAAGCTCAGGTTCCTAATTGACAGTGATATACAATATTAAAATTTTGCTAAGGGCACACAAATGCCTTGATCCAGCTCTGTTCTAAATTCCATTTGGAGTTCTTTGATAAATTTTATGAAAATTATTTAATTCACTTCAACACAATTATAACACTGTATTATCCCAAATTCAACTTTAGTGGCTGCTTCCTTGGCCTACAACCATTAGAATCTGTTTAGAAAGGTCTAACTGTAAAAACAGATGCATTTGTAGAATTTTCAAGAAATTATTCAGAAAAGGTTATACCCAGTAATGAAAGCAGAAAATTCAGGGTGGTTAAGGGAAAAATGGCCTTTTGACAAAAGTGCATCTTAGCACCATTCAACTTTTAAAATTTGGGGTACAAAGTACTACAGCCTCTTCTATGAAGCTATGCCCAGGGAAACCTAATTTCCCAACCCACTAACCTCCCTGAAAATATGCCTGTATCCATGAGTATGCTTAAGTGTCTATTCTTAATTATATGAAAAATTGAACTTAAGGTTACCTTAATTTTTAGTCATTAAGAATGCAAAACTAAATGCAGGAATAGAGATGATGAAATTCAACTCCCTTAAATAGGGAGATAAAGAACTATGCATATGAACTGTAGTATTCTTTCAGATGAGTAGCATAGTAGGAAAAGCATTGCCCTTTTGTGAGAGGAACAATGTTCAAATTCTGCTTCTGATGTTCATTGCCTTGTATAACCTTGAGAAATGCCTTCAGCCCACTTGATTCAGTAAACTCACCTATAAAATGAGATTATACTAACTGTGTGAGGTACCTTCTGGCTGTAGATACTATGAAGCTGCTAAATTCACTAGTTTTGCTTGTGTTTCTTATGGAGAAGAGTGTATTCGTAAATGATTAAATTACAGGAGTTATTAACTGGAGATCTGTGGTTATTTTTAGAGGGTTCATGAACTTAAGGAAAAATTACTAAAACACTTTCTTAAATTATGATTAAAAAAACACTTATTCTGAGGGGTCTTTTACACACACAAAAAAAGTTAAGAACATTCACTATGGCATAAAAAAGCCTAACTAAAAAACTCTTAAGGGAGTGGGAGGGAGATACCAAGATAATTAATACCCAGAGGCATTATGACTAATCTTGGGCAAATATAAATTTGGCTATAGATATTTATTTTAATCCTGTAAGTTTTCCCTCTGATCATTCCTGAAGTAATGATGGTTAAAAACTTCCAGAAATGAACTATCAAGTTGCTTATACCTATTACTTCATTGTGGCAGAAGAGTAAAAAGGTAGAGTAGGCAAATGAATATTGGAAAGGGAACACCTGCTCAAAAATAACCCTTCATCCCATTGCACGACTTTAAAAAATTCTCTTGGAAGCCTTTTAAAATTATAATTATCTTAAGAGGGAAACCCTACTACATCTTCAAGTGAATTTCTTTAATCAAGCACTCATAGGATTTAAAACTAGAAGGAATCTTAGAGACCTAAGTAAGACAAGACTGCAAGACCACACAGGTTGCTAGACAACAAGAAAGCAATTCAAACCAAAGTCTCATTCCAACTCTTCACACAGTACCACACTAAACTGTGGGTAGTTTTGTGTTGTAGGAAAGGTAGACAGGGAACTTTGGGTCAAATCTGTGTTCATGTTTTAGAGCTTTGGACAGCCACAAAGTCCCCACACAGGGAACAGGCAAGAAATTGCCAGATAATGACAGCAAAAGGGAAGTGGGAATGACATTTTAAATTTCACTAGCCCAGGAATTATGTGAAATGCCTGGGCCTGCCAAATTTCTGATCCCTAATGCTTCTTAGTTCTGCTTACTACCACAGTACACTGATGATGTCACATTCAGAAAATCTGAGTTCAAATGTGACCTCTATTACCCATTACCTTAAGTTACTTTACCTTTTTGTCACTCATTTTACAAGCCTATAAAATGAGAGGGTCAGTTAGATGGTCTCTCAGTTCCCTTCCAGCTCTAAATCTGTCATCTTACGGGGTTCATTTGTCTCTGAGACACCTGTGGTGACGCCGAAAGTAAACTGACTCTGGATGGCCTTATATTTCAGCACTGGTGATATTTATCAGATCTTGGACAAGTCAATTTACTTGCATGAGCCCATTTCCTGATTTGTAAATTGTTTTTTTTAGCAGCCTCTCTTTATCTTGGTAAACATAGTTTTGGTCTGCCCTAGCACAGTGCTTGACTCACAACAGGCCCTTAATAAACATTTGGTGATTGATTGTTGATGTTCCATGGCCTATGAATCCACCCCCAACCCATCTCACCAGCATGGAACACTTGATACAAGGGAGGCTGGGGAGAACTCATGGCTGAATGAAGGAAAATTTGGACCACCTCTACCGAAAAAAACTCAATGTGCTTTTATTTAGTTGGCTACTATTTTAATAGTGCTTTGTTGTCATCTTCTGGAAAGATTTTGTTTCTTCAGTCCTATGTAACATTCATCGAGTGCCAGCAAGAAAAAAGTTGTGTACAATTAATTGTAAGGGAAAAATGACAAGGGACAAACAGAAAGGAAACAGACCCCTGGAGAAGAAAGACTTGAGTTGAAAAAACTGAGGTCACATTTCCAGTTCTATCACTGTAAGTAACTTCAATTCTCTGAGCTGCCTTCCTCAAATGCAAAAGTGGGGATAACAATGTATTTCATTACCTACCTAAAAGGGTTGGGAGAAAAGTGGGTGAAAGCACTGGAACTGGAGTCATGAAGACTCGAGTTCAAATTCAGCCTCAGACAATAGTGCAGTAGTGATATGACTCTGGGAAGTCATGTTTGCCTTAGTTTCCTCACCTATTAGATCCGGGTCATAACATTAGCACCTACCTCACAGGGTTGTTGTGAGGGTAAAATGAGGTATTAGTAAAGTGCTTTTCAAATATTTATCTGGAAATGACCCTAAAAATCACCTAACACAATCCTTTTCATTTTGTAGGTGAGAAAAATACAAAGAAACACAAAGACAAAAAGGAAAGCACGTAAAATGCACTTCCTCTTAGTAGAGGGGTAGAGGACAACAGCTGCACAATGTAGTATATACTATGATTTATCCAAGAAAGACTACAACAGCTATTAAGTAGTAGTGAAGCTGGGACTGAAAAACTAGTCTTCTGTCTCCAAGTCCAGTGCTCTTATATGTGAGATATTCCATTATCTTACTTACACTTAAACACATGAAGTATAATAATTAAATTAGCAATATGAGAAAATTATAAAAATTGGGGGCTCAGTATTCATTAAAAAAAGACTCACAATAGCATTCCTTTAAAAGGCAAATTCAACAGATTACCTCCTTATGTACTCATGCCCAAATATATATTACAACATTTAAATAAGCGAAACACCCAAGTATGGTAGTTTTGTTTAAACCCCAAACTAATATCACTTTTTTTTTCTTTTTACTGGTTACTGGTACTTTGTACTGCCTTTCTTCTTTGGATATAGTCATTTTAATCTATTTAAATATTTTTATATCTAAAAAACAAAATAAACTGGAAACCAATTTATCCACTAGTCCAACAACTTGCTGAACAGAGTGATACTAGGACTTGCCTATTTGGATAGTTTTGGCTGTAGGGAAAGGAGTCACAGAGGGTACCACTGTGGGGAGGGGACATAAAGAATCCCTGGCATAGGGGGTTGGAGACAGCAGTTGAAACAAAGGAGAAAGAAGGTCCAAAATTAGAAGTGATTGGTGGAACTAAAAATGAACCCATCGATGGGCTCCAGAGCACACAATAACTCTCAGTAAAGTGATTCCTTTCAACCCTTCTCCTCATGTTTCAGGAGACAGAAAGGTGATTTAAAGTTACTGGCAAACTACTTATAAATGCCTCCTTGATATATGGATGTAAAATGTTTAAAACAAAATTGGTGGAGCTTTAAAAAAAAAAACCTGAATTCTTTCATTTAAAAAAGTAGTATAAGGGGTTACCAAAATACCTTTTTCAATCAACTACTTTGCCCAAGAATGCTCCTGAATGTGATCTTTCCTACCACATTAAAATGGGGAGAACTGAAGAAAAGTTTTGGTGCCTGTCAAGAAGATGCCACTTTCACTCCTCACAATTCAAAAGCCACCTTCCCCATGAACTGCTAAACCTCTCACTTTCCAGGTATTCATACCTTTAAAAGAACTTTTTTTTTGGTCTCAATTTCAACTTAAATGGCTGGAACCTGGCTTTCTTCCATCACCTAGTTTGCTTTTCTTAACCTGGACTTTGTAAAGGCCAAGAAACAAGAAATCTTGCCTGCAAACAATGTGTCCATTGCCTTCTCAGCCAGGACCAGGTAAGTCAAATTATTCCTGATTTTTCATGGCCCCATTTGAAATGGCAAAGTTGCCAAAGGTTTAAAAATAAAAAAAGTAATAAAGACCTACTTGCTCTTAATTAGGAACCTGTTTTTTCATAATGATGATGAGGATTAATTAATCCTCTTAATTAAAATACATAATTTAAATGATTACTTTTAAAGATTAATTTTTAAAATTAAGTTTTCAGAGAAAAAAGGTAGCTAAACTAAATCAGGTTTAAACAAGTGGATGAGAACTGCTTTTATTTCAGATAATTTTCTGATGATTAATGTAAGAGTAAACAGTAAAAGAAGGTTCTTGTGGAATAGGCCATCACTCACCAAAAAGAAATAATGAAATTCAGAAACTCTCTTTTACCCTGCAATCATTATGAGTGCTATTAAACAGTAACACTGACAGATAAGCTTTATCTTCTTAATTTACCTCATTTTCTCAACCGTAAAAAATGAAGATGTCTCAGTTCTATATCTATGCTCCTATATGCAGTTGCTTTTAATTTATATTACTCTCATGAACATAAACAAGTAAAATTGTTCTCTTGGCTTCAAATTCTGCATTAGTTTGTATAATTAAGAACGTTAAATTACAGCAATCCCACAATACGTATTTTAGATTCTCCACTAACATCAACAATGCTGAATAGGGTATCACAATTTATGCAGTACACATACCTGTGCACCTCATTAAGTAAGCCATTATATATTAAAATTCAGATTTACACTAAATATGAATTTGGGGTAATTATTCACTGAAAGGAGTCACAATGATTCCTTTAGAGAGAAAGCTACTGTTGTGATTTAAAAATGATTTAATCTACACAAATTTGATTTATACACAACTTTTCAGGAAGACAAGTATTATGTAGAGTGAAGTATTATCTGTATACCCTGGTAATATACAACTCTGACATTCATTTAAGGAAATGCTGCTTTTTTAAATGTCAGCTGGGTATGAAAGAGGAAAAAAAAACTACTCCTGGTTTTCCTTCTTCTTAACCAATGGATGAATATATATGATGTATATTCAGCTCTATGTATATGTTACAAGTATGTTTTAAGTGTAATTAAAACCTAGAAAAGCATCCTTTTACTGTTTTGAAATCAAACACACAAGATAGGTGAGAAAATTTTATCAGATTAAGAATCAAAATATCCCTTAAAATATTTACATTTTACAGTAAAAAGGATAGCAAAACACAAGATCATGTACAAGCTTAAGTATTCAAGTTTCTGAAGAGCCAAAAGGGAAAATAATGGTCTACTACAAAGCTGTAGTTTATGGCATTAAAAATGTCTTATTAAACAAGTGCAGTTTAAAGCAATAAATGTACTGCTCAGGCTTCCAAAGGCTTGTCAAAAAATGCTCAGCTGAATTATTAGTATCTGATTAATAAAATTCAGTTTGGATTTTTAAACTTCTCTACAATCTTCCTTTAAAAACAGTGCAATTTAAAAACAAACTTACAGTGAACTTTGCCCTAAAGAATTAATCATCTTGAAGGACATTTATATGAGGCAGTATATTCCACATATAACCAAATTTACCAATTACAGAAGAAAACTAAAATTTCTAAGCCTTTATTGCATATTAATAAAAGAAATTTTTGAATATACAGCAATGTAAAACTTTTGAAAAATATTAAACTCCTACATCTAGGAATAATTGGTATGATGTAAAGGATGACAAGCATTGGTACGTAGAGCTCTGTACCAAAACACGGACATTTCTGCAAAACACCAACTCTGAATTTTAAAAAGATGGCACAATCCTAGCAGGCATTCTTACAAAATTTGAAGATGAACCATACAACAGTTATTTAAATGCGATTTTGAAACAGCCTGCATCTTTTACCTTTTGCTCTTAGCTCTGTCAGTGTGGTCCCTATCTTTGTGGTGTCTGTCCCTGTCCTTTTCACTATGCCTACTTTTCTCCCGTTCTTTGTCCTTTTCATGGTCTTCATTTTTAGGTTTATCTGGTTTCTTCTCTACATTCCTATTATCTCTATTTGATTTTCCATCTGATCCTCGGTCACTGTGCGATAACCGAGACCTCTCTTGGTCTTTGTGCCCTTCTTCCCTGCTTTTCCTGTCTCTCTCTTTTTCTTGGTTTCTGTCTCTACGTCTGTGTCTCTCAGACTCCTGCTCCCAATCTTTTTCATGTCTCTCTCTCTTTAGGTGGTGTGAGTCACTATAAAATCTCTGCTGGTCACCTTTCCCCCTGCTAAACGGCTGTTGGTCTTGTCTGCCCCAGGGGTCACTATGACGCCTCTCTGGTCTCCGACTATCTTTAACAGGATAAAAATTTTGTGGACCTGAAAATCTTGATGCTTGTGCATGAGGGCCCATGAAATGTTGAGGTTGACCTGGTAAATGAACAACAGGTGGCCAAGGCATCATAGGATTCTGAGCAAAACCAAAGCCTGGGGGAGGAAGTAATGGAGGTGGCAAATGCGGTGGATATCCAAACATGCTTTGTGGGGGGAAAGCAGGAGGCCCTGGAAATGGAAAGCCAGGAGGACTAGATTTAGGATGTTGAAAGTTGTGCTGCTGAAGCCTAACAGGTGAAAAGTTTCCACCTGATCCTGGACTCATGCTTTTTGAAGTGAAGTTGGTGGTTTTAGAATTAAATTCAGGTTGAGATGTGCTTCCTGCTTCAAAATGAGATGAAGTCGTTGCGGCTGGTCCCCTTCGAAATGTGTGTACAGTTTCAATGTTTTGCATTGAAGACTCATCCTGTAAATGTTTTGTCTCCTCTGCCTGAGAAGTGTGTGCATTTTCTATTGAAGTTGCTATCTGCTGATCCTCACACTTTGGATCATTGCTCTGCTGAAAATGTGGGTCTTTTTCTACAGAAGTCTGCTTTTCCTCTAGCTCTGTGGGCTGGGTTAATATTCCAGTGTGTTCTTTGTCATGTGATTGACTAGGTATGTTTTTTTTATCTTCATTTCGGCTACTATCCCCCTCTTTGTTGTCCAAAGTTATCTGCTGATTTCGTCCAGCTGCCTGCCTGGGATCCCTCTTAAGATTAATGAATTGTGGGGACCTTGATGTATTAGCAGTCATATTTTCAGGACTTGTGCTAATGTTATCTCCATTTCCTTTACCTCCATTAGATGTAGTGGGAGAACTAGTATTAAAAGTCTTATTTTCTTGTGAAGCAGTTTCCTGATCTTGTCTTTTTGATACTCGCTCTTTACCCTCTTCAGTTTCTTCATTCTGTGACTGAATAGACAAATTTGTTAAAAATGCTTCAGTAGAAACATCTGGTGGTTTTCCTTTGAGAGTGAGACCTGGCAAAGTTCCTGGTAATTGCAGAGAGGTTCCCACTACTGGTGTATCTTCTATTAGTACTGAATTTTCTGCAGACTTGGGTGGGTCGTTCATTTTTATCTTCATATCATCTGCTTCACGCATAGCTATGTCCAAACCATCTATTTTTTCTTCTTTTGAGCTCATCTGTTCATTTATTAAAGGTATTACTTCAGTAGCAATTGGTTCCACTGCTGGCTTAGTCTGTTCATGTACCTGACCAGTGGTACCTAAAAGGCTTTGAAGTATATCATCCACTGGCAGTGGTTTATTTGCTAAGTCAAGAGTGGAAGGTTGATTTTCCCAGCCTATCAACACACCAGGAAGAAACCTTAGAGGTTTGGGAGGCTCTTGTTTGAGCAACTCTACTATAGGCTCCATTACAGCTGGAATTTCTTCCTGAGAAGCCTGCTGAAGCTTGTTTCTCTGTTTATGTAATACAGTTGTAAAAGAATTAAAAAAATCATTTTCTTCCTCTGGCTCTTCCTCATTAGAAATCTCTATTTTAATTTTTTTATCAGGGGGCAAGGTCATTGGGATACTTTCAGGAGTCTCATCTACATGACTAGTGCTACTACTAGCAGTAAACTGCCTCTTCATTTTCTGACGGATAATCAAGCCCAACAACAGATTAGGTCTATGTAGTTCAAGCCCTGTAAAAAATGAAAATACAAATTAATATAAATATTTTACAAATATTTCACTTCAGATAAAAAATTAACAGTTACCTTTTCTGTTTTTGCAATTTAATCTTTTATAAAAATTATCTAAGTTGGCTTTAGGTACACAGTTTTACAGAAGGAAAAGATACTACAAGAAAGAAACTTGGCCAAAGGATAACCCTTAATTTTAATCATAATTGATCATTAATCTGTATACCTACCAGGTCCATCAAAAGGCACAAGAGGGTGTGGAATTTTATCAGAGGCACCCAAAGGAATAAGGTACATATCTTTAACCAGTTTCATGTTATTAGCAGCTACACCATAGCGCTTTCTGCTACTGAAGTATGCAAACAATAATGTATAAGATATTTGATCTTCCTCAGTCACTGGTGTAAAACGAACCACACAAATTTCCTGGTAGGAAAAAACAACAAATGTTTAGCCTAAATTAAAGTGATACTTAAGATAATGCCATTTCATAAAGATTTTGTAAATCTGATTTATTGTTTAAACACATACATTTTAACTAGAACAGATTCTTCTTTTCCATAACCCTGTAGAGAGGTTAAGAATTATATTAATGCCTAGTTTATCAAGCATTGTCAAGGAATTAGGTGTTACACATAAGTGAATTTTCTAGATAATTCAAAGTTATATACTTCAGATACTTAGAAAGCTTTAAAACATTTTAATTATCTTAGGTAGAGATTGTTTAAGCATACCTGTGTGTGTACACACACACACACTTTTCACATTTTCCTAACTTTTTATATGGCATAGTGGATGGAGAGCTGGCTTCAGAGTCAGAAAAACTTTGGACAAGTCACTTAACTATTCTGGGCCTCTGTTTCCTCAACTGCAAAATGTGGAAGTTGGTTTAAATGGCTTCTTGTGGTCCCTTCCAGCTGCAAATTTATAAACCGAGTCCCACCCCTGACATATAAGCCTCTGTGTAGGTAGAGGAAGTCTTCTCACCCATTAAATCATGGATCCAGATCCCTTCAACCCACTAGTGAAACATATTTTTACATATTCTCGAAGACTCAAAGTCATCACCATAAATCACAATTGTAAAGATGGAAGGAAGGTACTTGAGGTCATCTTCTAGTCACAGAATCAGAAGTGGAAGGGACCTTGAGCCATCTATTCCAATACAACACCTTCATTTTACAGTTGAGTAAATTGAGGTCCATGGTTAACAAGTAAGTTGTCCAAGGTCATAGAAGGTAAGTTTCAAAATTGGGTTTTCTGCCTACAAAGCCAACGTTGTTTCTACTCTCCTGTGATGTTTCCATTCATTCACTGTATGTATGATGAAGAAAAATACTAAAGTCCTCAGGAATCACTAAATTATATAAGACTAATTACTTTTATGCCAAGAGCCAAGCTTTTGAATTCCTTGGGACTGACTGGTCTCAAGCCATGGATAACTTTCCTCTCTTTCATCAAAGAATTGTACATAAAAGAGAACTTACCAATTATCTAGGCCAACTATCTTATATACATATCAAAAGGACCCAGAGAGATAAGGTCACTAATATCTAGCTAGGGACAGAGACCAAGACTAGAACCCAGGTCATCTGATGGCCAGCCAGTTTGGTAGTATTTCTACAACAATGGGACAAATGACTTTACTCCTTACTTTTAGCTCTATCACAATGTTCTTTCTTAAACTCCCCACCCTCGACCCCCAACCAACAAGTTTAATTTACTGGCTATAATCTATTGTGGTTATAAAGTCAGGCAAGTTCTATGAACATAGTGCAAGGACTGTGAAATCCATTCTGTTTACTCTGATCTATCTTCCTAGTTCTCAACCACATTCCAGAAAGACAAGTGTTATTTTGAATGGTAGTAAAGCAATTATAACTCAATTACAAATGGGTTCTTTTTCATGTAGATTTGTCATTATGGTTGATCGAATCCAATTTGAAGTATGACCCATAACAAACACCCAGAAATTATATATTAAAACCTACATACTAGATTAGAAGTAAAACACAACTCTGAGTCATCATTCAAATGTCAGCAGGAAAATAAGTATCAATGATCTGAACATGGCTCTCTACTCCTTATTAATGTATTCACTTAGAAGCACAGACTCATTGAGAGCCAACTAGTAAAAAAAATTTGTTTCTCTACCCAACAAATAAATCATCCAGCCTTTTCTAGAAGACATCAAGAAATAAAGGGATCCTAATGTTCATGATGTGAACTCATTTTTGGACACCACTTATTAGCAAGTTTTTTCCTCTGTTAACCCTAAATTCACTTCTTTGTAATTTCCATCTGAGAACCTTGAAAAAAAGTCTTACCCCTCCCTCTTCAATGTAACAGCCCTTCAAAAACTTAGCTATATCCCCAAAGACTTCTCTTTCTCAGGTTAAACACCCCCAATTCCTTGAACTGATACTCATGTTACGTCCAGAAAGAGTCCTGGTTCTCACTCTCTGGTTTATACATGTGCTTCATAAAAATGTGATACCCAGAACATGTCAGACAGCCTGGCCAATGAAAAGTACAACAGAATTATTATCTCTCTAGCCTTAAATGCTATGTCAATTAATGCATCCTAAAGGACAAATAAGCTTCTTATTGGCAGCCCTCTTGTACTGTTAAAGGTAAATCCCCAGATATTTTCCAGAGGAACTACTGTCTAGTCATACATTTATCATCATGTACTTACACAGATGGTTTACTGAATTCAAATGCTAGCATTTCATTTTCCTCCATTAAATTTCATGTGATTCAGTCCAATATTCTAGTGTGTCAAGATTTTTTGGGACTGTCCTCTAAAATGTTAACTATTTCACCTAACTCTGTTTCAAACTACACTACTTTTCAGGTCCTTTTGTTTTTCTAATATCAGAAGGCCATTTCAGCTAATTTTTATTTTTCTCCTTTAATAGTATAATGAATCTATGATCTTCTCAATGTGGATACTCTCTCAAACTGTGTAGATCACATCATATCACTACCTTCTTATCCCATGTAACTTTTGCCCAGTTCTTTCCATAAATCTTCCATTCTGGGGGCTGCTTCTTGATCTTCTGCCACTGCATGCATATCAACAATGCTTGTGGACTTTCTATCCATAGATAATCAGCCCTATTTCTTTTCTAGACAGATATCTATTTGATGACATCCTTTATAACTCCTTTCTGGTAATATTTTGATGCTTACTCAGGTGTACGTGTACCTTAAATAAGCTTCACTGCTTTCAGAGATAATGGTATTCCATATATTGCTGCCATTTTAGGAAGAATACAGATGCTCAAAAATACAAGTCTTTGGTGCTTGAAGATGTGTGATAGTTGTTAAAAATCCATGAACAATTTCCTTAAGGCAATCCATCCTTGCACAATTCCTCCTATTCAACTCCGGGCCCACCTTATTACCTATTTCAAGTGTTTGTTCAAATTTATGGATGAACAGTTATATCATTCAACTGAATATTATAATCTGGACAGCAGTTACTTTTCCTTTGGATTTTTCTGTGTATACAGTGAGACTAAACTCCTTTGAGTAATCATGGATCTCAATTAAGAGGCTCTGAAATGTTCTCATATTCAATGTGATCACCATATAACAACAGAAATAGGTACTCCATTTTTTTTTTGGTTTGTTTGGTTTTTTTTTTTTAAGGCAATTGGGGTTAAGTGACTTCCCCAGGGTCACACAGCTAGTTAAGTGTCAAGTGTTTGGTCTGAAGCCGTATTTGAACTCAGGTCCTCCTGACTTCAGGGCCGGTGCTCTATCCACTGCGCCACCTAGCTGACCCCAGGTACTCCATTTTTACCAGGAGTTCTTAACCTTTTTCATATTTCAGGGATCTCTTTGGCAGTCAGGTCTCTACAGCCTCCTTAGAATAAAATTTTTGGTTTTTAAAAATTCTTAATTACTGGATGCCAAATTTCATTAAGAGGTTAATAAAAATATAGATGTATTTTTTACCCACCCAAGTTCACAGATCCATCCTGTAAGAACCCTCTGATTTGGATTCTATTTGCAAAATCCTCCATGTCATTGGTGAACACATTTGGTGAGCATAAATTTTGAAGCATACATTTCCCTCTTTAAAAGACTGCAATCTATATAGTGCTGACATGCATGGAAAATACTTGGACGGCTAAGAGCCCTTAAGAAACTATTTTGATGTACTGAATCAAATGCTTTTTTATTCTCTTACCTTCTTTAGTTCCATTTACATTTCCCCGTGCAGCACCCAGAGAAGTGTTAAGAATCCAAGATGTCTATCACTTAATGAAGTCATGAAGAAATTTACAATAGGCATCAGGACAGATCTTTTCTAATTTTGTCTGTAAATGCCCTCAGAATAATTTGGTTTCAATGAGTATCTTGCCAGATTTTCGGTAAACTTTTTTTTCCCTTGTATTTCTTATCACTGTGTTATGAAACAGTCTGCTTATACTCTTCCATTGGCCTCTTTTGTTAAATTCTACAAGTAAATCTATATTCTAAATCTCTGATACTTTGGCTGCCATATCTTTCCAACTGGCAAGGAAATGAAGTATTTGCTGGCTGAGGTGGTTTCTAGGCTCTTGTCTCCTCACTGTGACAGTTAATGCACACTACTATTTAACCTTAATATTCAGTTTCTCTTTCTAAATTAAGTAACAAAATCTAACTTTATGACCTTATTTTTTATTTGGTAAAGTGTTTTTCCTAGCTTGTGAGCGAACACAGCAAACTCACAGAATCAGTATTATAAGTCCCTTAGGATGAAAACTAGCCAGGTTCCATATTCCAATTTAATTCTCAACACAAATCAAGTTTGATGATATTTTTACAGCAGCATTCTCCACTAAGCTATTCACCAAAATTGAGTAGTGTGGCTCTAGAAAAGAGTACAAATGCTAGTATATATCTTTCAACTACACAAATGCAAAGAGTTCACTTTTTTTTATTGTGCATAGAGTGTCCTTCCTATAGAGAACTTAGATGCGCGCGCACACACACACCCCAAGTACAGTTTCCATTTTATTTCCAGGGCTAACAACATTAAAATTCACCTTACCTTAGTTCCTGAAGCTTTTATTTTCTCCACGTAATCCCAAACAGTTTGAGGTGATATTCTGCCACCTACTTGAATACTATCTGGTAGATCCTGTTGTAAAGGAACCAGATAATAGTAATGATTAAATCTTCTTCCAATGAGATTTATATAAGCAAAGCAATTTATGAATCAGGTGTTTACATGTAACTTAAATTAGATATTAATTTTTTTAGTTAGTGTACTGGACAATTTAGTTAATGGATTTTTTTCCTGAAGACTAAGTAATACCTATGAATTGGTAAACTTAGTTTGAAAGGAAAAGTATAGTACTAGCAAGCGACCACATTGAAATAATATCTTAAGGGACAGAAAAAAAAAAGTAAATCTTCAAAATCAAAGGAGTCTCATAAATTCACCTGGAAAGAAAACCTATTTAATATGGCCTGGATCAAAGGTTAACTTTCTAATAAGCACAATTTTCCTTATAGATGGAGTAGGTTAACACATAGAATCTTTATAAAAAATATTAAGTGCATTTAATTTGATTTATATATTCAATATCTCAATCTTTACTTCTTTCACTCACAGAAAGTCCAAAGTTGTATATTTTCACACTATCAAACAACATGTTTTTATTTTCATATATAACATCCTGAAATGATTCATTTCTTTCCTATACCTTCATGTATTTAAGCTGACTGCCACAGCAACCATGGTTTGTTCAGTGTGTTTCATGTGACTACCCTTAGGCTATATACACTAAACTCCAAGGTCCTCTTTGCTGAGTAGGGCAAACACAGACCACACCAGCAAGCATAAACTCAGTGTGCTCTAGGTTTATATATCTCTAGGCAGATGAACTGAATTAAACAAAGTTAAATATGAGGAAACCAAACCACTGAGGAATTAATTAATATCATACAATTTTTTATAATAAAGGTGAAAATGAAATCTGACAAGCCTCATTTTCAAGTCACCACCATTTAAATAACACACTCTTTCTGTAATTCTATTGAATTTAACCATCTTCTCTCCATGTACTCTTACTCTCTTTTTAGTATTTGAAAAGCTGACCTTCTAACTTTCCATTTTGGTCAATTCTACTATATCTTGATTTTAACTTCTTTTGCAATTTTAAATAAACTTCAAAACTTTTATGCATATCCTTTCAGCTAGTTTTCATTTCATTCCTTTCTTTGCTCCTGCTCATTATCTTCTCCTAACCCTGTGAAAGCCAGCCTTGAGTTCTATAGATACATAAAAGTCACAGCAGGCATCATATATTCAAAGGAAATCCCCAGTTCTCTCCACCTAGTACCAAATGAACATGAAAAGCAAAGAAAATTTTGACTTGTTGGCACACAATTTTTATTTAAATCTAAAGTTGAAGATACAATGCAGATTCTCATTTTTTTCTTAATTCTGTACTACAGAAAAGCACCTTATAGCAAGACTCCCAACATATTCCAAAACAAAATCTGAACACCTTTAAAACTTTTGTGGCACCATTCTTTAAGATTTTAGGAATCCTTTCTTCTTGCTCAGGCCAAGTACTTGGCATGTGTGACTGAACCTTTCAATCTCCCAACTTAATTAGTCCCTGGCTTCTTTCTCTTCCTCCTACATCAAGGCTCAGGTCTTCCCCTCCTTAAACTACTGTCTTATATCACCCCCTGACCTTCACTACTAAACCTCTATCAAGAGTTACATATACTTGCAGTGTTTCACTTCCTCTCAACCTCCTGAAATCTAGCTGCTTTCCCAACTACCCTATTTCCCAGCTTCAATTATCTCGCCTCTGGCCAAATGACTAACAAATCTATTTCTCTTGACTCAATTTCTCCAACGTTTAAAACTGTCTGCTTATGTCCCTCCTCCAATTACCTCCATTTTGTTGTTGTTCAGTCAGCATATGTCCAACTTTCATTACCCTATTTGGGATTTTCTTAGCAAAGACACACCAGTGGTTCACCATTTCCTTCTCCAGATTTTACAGATGAGGAACTGAGGCAAACAGGGTTAAGTGACATGACTAGAATCACAGAGCTACTAAGTCTCTGAGGCCAAACTTGAACTCACAAAGATGAGTCTTCCTGACTTCAGGGTTAGCACCGTATCCATTGCACCACCTAGCTGCCCCAATTCATTCCATACAGTTGCTTAAATAAATACACAGGCCTGACCATGTTATTCTACCAATCAAATCCTTTCAGTTATTCCCAACTGTTTATATGATAAAATAAAAATTCTTTATGGCCTAGGGTTTAAGGCTTTTCACAATTTGGTCACAAAATACACTTCAAGTTTTATTTCACACCACTTACCATCTCCATATTGCCAACTGCTGAAATACTTTTCTTTTTTCAAAATCCAGCTGGAGTGCTACCTCCCTCCAGAAGCTTCCCCCCAACTCTGTGCCCAGCCTGAAAGTGATCTTTTCCCCTCCTCAAATTTTTTGAAAGCACTGTGTCTAAACTTCTTTGACTTACTACATTACACATTTTATCATATTCGAGTACAATTCATATTCCCTGTTAGACAGTAAGCTCCTTGAAGGTTAGGTCTGCATCATTTTTCATCTTTGTCTCCTTACTGTCTTATACAATGCTTTCTGAGTTGAATTTGCTCTTCTAGTAATGGAAATTTTTTGGCCTCAAATCTAAGACATAGGCAATGATGAATTACTAATACGCATAATGGACAGGCATATCTGAAGGTGTATTATGTACAGCAACAAAAATTAAATCACTGGTTATGTCACCTTTGCTTACATGCACACACGAAAACCTGTATATTAGGCTCAAGGCCAAAAAATGCCTCATGTGATTGTTTCCCTATTTCCTAGTTTCTTAAACAAAACTCTTAAGATATTTAATTATAAGTAATTTTTCCATAAGAAAATGAAGATTTTCTCCAAATCTGTGTTTTAGTATGTGATCCCTTGTTTCTCAGACAATGAAGAGATACAATGAAAACGGCAACCTGAATGACCTTGGACAAGTGTTTAAAATCCCTTTAACTTCCTAGACAAATGAGCTAAGTTATAAAAAGGAAATAAAAGTAAGATCCAGTTCAGTCAAGTCTAGCTTCTTCTGATTTGGATAACTTTACTAGGAAAATGTACTTCACAATGATCTGACATTTCACCATTACAATATTTATTGTAACTCTGCTCCATTTCCCAAAATATTATTAAGATATCCTAAATTCAAATTTGTATTATAATGAAGTTTTAAAAACTGAAATTTAAAAAATGAATTTTGCTTCACTTTAAAAAAATGGACTCTGAACAATAACATAACCAGAAATTTACACTACCTCTGTTAAATATTCAGGTGATCCAGACACAGGATAGGCTTTGATAACAAACTTTGCTACAGAAGGCATGTTGATAAAACCTTTCCAAATAAAGTTCAATCGAGCCAAGAAAGTAGATTCAACTTCAACAGCACCAGGCATCTCAGGACTAGGAAAAAAAAAATCATATGAAGAATAGGATTCAGATAATGTAATATTAAATATTTGATCACCTGAGACCATCACATGAACACAGCCAAAAAAAAAGTTTATTCCTCTTTATATATCCCTTTGATTAAAAGTTAGAAATTTTCATTTTACTGATTGATACTGATAAGACTTTAATTATTTTTTTTTGACTATTATGACTACAGTCCAAGAAAGCTAAGAGGTTTTCTTTTTAGTGACCTGTCATTTTTTGGACCATCAAAATTAGTCATTCAAGACTCATGACTCAGTTCACTCATGCATGCAAATGCCTTCCCAAAGAGTGTTGTTTTCTCCCAATTATGTTTATGGCCACTGAGTCAATAACTATCAGATGACAAAAAAGAAAATTTAATTTTTTCAATGTGTATTAATAAAATGATCCTAAAAAATTTGTAATGACTCCAAAGGTAATCTGACAAAAGAAATCTTTTTTTTTAAATTAAGGTTGATTTTTTTGTTGTTCATTAGTATGAACATGCAAGGAAAAAAAGTCTCTCAACCTTAGTTTTCTCATCTGCAAAATGAGTTAAAGTTAATGATCTAATATTCTGAGGTGGAAATTTACCGAGGAGCAGGAGAAAATGTAGACTTTGGAGATTCTTGCTTCTCTTCTTCAAAGAATTCTGAAGATAAAATATTTGATGTTGAAGACAAGGCATCAGCTATATTTTCTGCTTCGTTGTCTGAATGTTTACGAGCTACACCAACAGCCACCTTCACCTTTTTGGGAGAAAGATCATCAGCAGGTGGTGCCATTCGACCTAGAGAAACCCAAAAAGGTACAAAACTTAATTCTAAAATAACTTTTATACTTTAGCCAGAGTTCTTGTGGTAATCTTTACCTACCATGTTTTTGTCCCTATTAACTCTGGAAAAACACAGATAATTAAAAGACTGACACCTGTTTCCCCAATGGAAAACATATTGATAATAAAGGATACTAGTATATGGTGGGATGGGAAGTGAGAGACGGAAGAGAGCCAGTAGATGTGGCAGGCATCTTAAGGAGCTAGGTCTTCCATCCTTTATGGCTGCTGAAAGCTTCAAAATTATAGTATGAGAACACAGACTGTAAGCTATAAGGTCCTCTGTTGAGTGAAAGCAACTTTGAGAAAATTTAAGATAGAAATCCCAGATCCTGTAACCTCTATTATGATATTTTAGTGAATTGGCTTTATCATAACACGTAAAATAATTGAGATTTTTATACCATAAATATTTTATAGATGCAGAAAATCAGAGAAAGTTAAGCAATGAATTTATTCATGCTGGGACTATACAACTCTATAACAAAGTGGGAGTTTGATATTCCATCACCATTTGGAAGTAATTTTACAGCTACATTAAAACAAGTAATTTCCTTGCTAGTATCATGTACACCTATAATTAATTACTATGACTGCACATGAACTCTAACTGTAACTTAGAAATAATGTATTTAAGATCAATGTTCAGAGTTACAAGGAGTCCAATTCCTTCATTTTACATGAGGAAACTGAGACCCAGGAAGGTGTAGAGATTAGTCTAAAAAAGTAGTAGGTAGCTGAGCCAGGATTCAAACTCATGCCCTCTGAATCCAAATCCAATGCCCTTTCCATTAGACCACAATGCCTACTGAATACGTATACAAAGATACCAAAAAGAAAATTATATTAATTTATGCTTTAATGTTAAGCTAGTGAATGTTAAGTCACACTTGAAATTTTTAGCTATTTGATCATTTCAGTATTTAAGTTTTCTCATGTACTCCTTTTCATTATCTTCCTGAAATACCAAGAATATTCTAAGATAGCAAATAAAAATTTTTCCATCATTTTCCCAAAGTAAAGCTATATTTCTACTATATGATTCAGAATAAAGCATTTTAAATACTGTATTAACAATACTCACTGTAAGTACTGTTGCTTAAGAATTTTTCTAAACATCCAAAATACTAGACAAGCCCTTCACTGTTATTAGTGTTTCCCATAGCTAAATATCTACTCATTGCTTCAGCACTAACAAAACAAAGGTTTCCTTTATACTTGTGCAAAATCCCTAATGGAGCACTCAATCTGGAATAATTTTTATATGTTCCTCAATAACGTACAAAATAATCAACAAATAAATTCAACATAGATAAGGCAAGGCTATCAGACAGATCACAATTTCCAAGTTGTCTGAGGCCCCAAAGGAACATATCAATAATAAAGAAACACACACAAAAGTATCTCATTCTAACCCTCTATTCAGTCATGATACTATTAATATTACCTACTACTACCAATTCTCTTAGTGTACGACCCAGACACCAAAGCCTTAAGATCAACTCTCATTTTAGTAATTAGTTGCCCACTCCCATCCAAAAAAAAAAAAGTTCTACAAACTACACCTTTAAGTTCATGTGTGAATTACAAGCATTTGCTATTGGCCCCCAAATGGAAAAATAATGGAAATGCAATCAAAGTACTTGGGTTTGAATTCTGAATCTGTCACTTACTTAACTAGCTATTTGACTACGGAAAAGTCACTCAACCTCTTTACAGTCAGGTTCCTCATCTATAAAATGAGAATAATGCTGTCTAGCACTAAATCAACAAGCATTTATTAAGTATCTATTAAGCTGGCCAATGTGCTATGTACTGGGGATACGAATACAAAAAATGAAACAATTCCTACTAGCAAAGCACTTATATCCTATGGGAAGAAAATAAGTACATATCTAAGTATACACAGAATAAATACAAAGAGATTAATTAAGTACAAATAGATGCAAAGTAGTTAAATTAGCAGTTAGGGTACTAGGAAAGATTTTGTGTAGACAGTAGTACTTGAGTTCTGTCTTGAAGGAAGAGGAAAACACGAAGCTGTTTTTAAGTTTCAAAAGAGAAGATGAATATAAAGCACCATGTAAACTTTAAGGCACTATATATATTGGTTATTGTCATTTTTATTTTGTATGACTCAGAACAATGCAACACCAATCAGCACAGCAAGCACCCTAATATTCTTCTACTAACTGTGATTCATCATCATAATCTTCACAAAGAGAAGACATTTCACATTTTTTAAATTACCTATACATATCTTGCAATTAAGATCAAAAAGATGATTTTTATGTTGACTTGTGGTATCTTTAGACAAAGAATCAGCCTCTTCTTTTTCTAAATCTTCTACTTTCTCCACAGACTTAGTAGTAGTAGACTCCTAAGGAAAGCGACAGCAAAACCAGCTTTAGTACATACTATTGTGCCTTGAGTGACTAAAATCATGCAGAACTTCTAACTCAGTACTTTTTCCTAGATGATATTTTCTTCTAGCTTGTCCATACTTCCCCAAAATTTACAGAAAAAGAGATGCCATTACAAGGATTTTCTTAACTACTCACAGGTTTTCAGGTTAAATTTAATTAGTTAAGGAACATTCATTTAGAATTATTTAGAATATTTTATTCAGAAAATAAAGACTTTGTCATCCACAATTATGTTTATGCTTTGATGACTCTAAATTATGACTATAAAATATAATTTTTTTAAAAAAATATACAAATGGAAGAAGAGTTCCTAATCTGAATCGGTAGAGGAAATTTTCTGATGAAATGACAAGTCTAGAAAAAAAACTGTAGTACAAATTTAAACTTCTCTTCAACTAAACTTGATGAAGGAATTTTAAAAACTTCTATATAAAAAAATAAAAAGCACTAAGCTACTGAAAATGGCTTGTATACTTTTGTAGTGTAAGACGTTAGTTTTCTTTCTATTTCTAATAAACCCACATGCTGCCTATCCTAAAGTTAACTACTATGTCTCAGATGTTAGAAAGCAGAAGATATTTGTTATTACCTGCATTTCCATGGTTTCTTCTTGTTCTTTCATTGGAGCATCACTCTCAATTTCTATTTCACCTTTGTGAGTAATTTTTGTAATTGGACGCCTTTCCACTTCCCTCTGTTCTTTTTCAATCATCTCAATGGTCTGCAAAATAAGTGTTTTTCTATGTAAATAATTTTCAATGTAAAAACAAACTATGCAATTTATGAATTTAGACAAAACAAAGGAAGATAAATCATGGAAATGATTTCTTTGCTTTTCAAGGGTATGTAGGAAAAGATTCTAGAGCAAATAATTATTTCCTATATGTTACTCATCATTTAGAATTCTCAGAAGAAAAAACCGTAAGAACAAAAATAGAAACTAAAATGTAAGTTCAATCATATTTTTAAGTGTATTGGCAAAGGAATAAGGTAGAATATAAAGTGATATTCAAATAGACATGGTGTTTATATTTAGAATTTGTTTTCAATTTTCAAATTTGGGGTTAAAAGACAAAGCTGATACAATCTTAGCTCACTGTATCAGTGTGCCAGCAAAGTAAAAACTCACTGAATTCTCAAAAATCCAAAACAGCTACTACACATTTGTCCTAAATAAAACTGCTCAGTAACAAATTAAAATTAACCATAGACCAAACTTAGGTGACAAGGTGAGGAGATAAGAGATTAGAAGAAAGGGAGAGAGTGCTCAATGAGTAATCCTACCCCAACTGCCAACATTGTCTCCACCCTCCCCCATGATGTTACAGGATGGGAAGAAGGAAGGAGATGAAGTAGAAAAAATGAATGCTAACTTTTCTCTCTCTTCCACTACACTAACGTTGTGACCAAGGATCAAACAATACCTGCCTGCTTCCTTGTTTTTTATTTAATATATTTTATTTCAACAAGTATAACATATTCAACTTAATGCAAAAAAATAAACAAAGGAAGTACTCGGTTAAGCTGTAAGATAAATAGAAGCTACCATCACAGATTGTTCTCTACTTTTGAGTGCATGATCTTAAATACATCAAAAGACCTATGAGAGTAGATATTACTGTCATTTCAATGCAGAAAAAATTCTGTACATGTTTGTGGGCAGTACTTGTTTTTGGGGGGGAGACAGATGAGAGAAGATACTTAAGGTAAAGCATTTTTCCTGATTTTATGCTCCAACGAGGACAGAATAACTACAACAAAAAGGGATGTATGTTTACAAGCATGATATAACAAATTATGGTCTCCTACCCTTCAGAATTGGCACCGGATCAACTTTTTAATAGATGATGACTGGGGGAACAGTGCTAGATGTGGCTAAAAACATGCAATCTTTAAAATTCTGTTTCCATAATACTTTAGAACAGTTAATACATCAAGGCATTTGTTGTGGAAACACTAGAAAATGAAAGTGCATGGGTTACAGTTGGGCAGGGCCATAGGAAGAGCACAGAGAACAGGGGAGAAAATAGCAGTAAATTTGGTAACTGAAGAACTGGAGGATGAATGAAGAAAAAACTGCAAATCAGGAAATGAGAATAGATGCAGTGCCAAGACATAAGGAAATAGGTTTTTAAGAGGCAGGGAAGAATGTGGAACAGTGAACCGAAGAATAGGAACACAGTTCTGCCACATTTAATAGCTTAAAAATATGGGTGTGTACACACATATACATCTATGCATGTAATCTTACATGTCTGTTTTCTCTTCGTCTCCAGGCAGCTAATTCTTTAGAAGCTAGTTCTTCAGGACTCATTCTTATGAGATGATCAGGTGTTACCTCTCCTTTCAGTACTTTTTTAAATAAAATCTAGAAGTATTAAGAATAGAAAAAAAATTAGAAAGGAAATAACTCTAAGAACAAAATTCATAATAAATATGTTGTTAATGTGCTTGGTACTTCAAAGAAAATAAAAGTCTTGCCCTAAAGGAACTTTACAAATTGTTACAGAAGTACATACTGCAAATGTTTACTTAAAAATTAGCATTAGAGAGATAAAGCTATCACATGCCTTATAAATTAGTGCTTTTGTTAAAATCCCAATCAATACAAATGACAGTATTTCAATTTGCACTCCCAGCTCAACTCACTCTTCAAATTGTTTTCACTTCCTGATCAGCAGCCTTGCTCACCTTCAGTTATGTCATCCCAGGACCTACTCTCTTTCATTGGTTATTCTCTGACCAAGACCACCATTTTAAAGAGGGACTCCAACCAGGTACACTTCATTTCCAGCTAAATTTATTTGTAGACTACTGCACCTCTTTACCAATGGACCTGTCCACCCCCATCCCCTTGCCTGCAACACCTTCCCCACAGGTACCTACCTTTCCTCCTCCTATCATTACCTCTTTCCTCCCCTTTTTTGTTTTCTCTACTGAATGTAAAATCCAGGACAGTATGCACTGTTTTCTTGCATGCATATTCCCTGATTTAGCATAATGCATAGCACACAGATAAGAGTTCAAAAACTTTAAATTCTCTCTTGCCTTCATAATCAAATTTGTTCTAATAGCAGAAACTGGCTATTTATATAGCATTTTTTAAAGTGTGAAGAATATTTTATAAGCATTAACTATGTCTTTTGTGCCTAACAATTCCTTGAGATATTTACTAAAAGCAACATTATCTTTCTTTTCTAAATGAAGATAATGGGGCAGCTAGGTGGCACAGTAGACAAAGCACCAGCCTTGGAGTCAGAGGACCTGAGTTCAAATCCGACCTCAGACCAAACACTTTACACTTACTAGCTGTGTGACCCTGAGTAAGTCACTTAACCCCAACTGCCTAAAAATTTTTTAAAAAAATTAAAATACTTGAGCTCTTCCAGGTAATCTTTTGCAGCTTGAGATCAATTCACATTTTTCTTTGAAGTGTCACATGTAGCCATTTTTTACATTGTCCTCTTTGGAGTTTATGTTTTGAACCTCTCTGTCACCATAGTAACTTTCTATGTTTAGGTTCTTTTTTTTGTTGTTCTTTTTTCAGCCTATTTTTTAACATCTAACTTTATGTTAAAGTTGGCTCTACTCCTGAAGTGGAGGTGGGATTGTCCACAGCTTCAGGTTTTTTGTGCTGCTGTTTTCAGAGCTAATTCTCAGGACCTGTAAGATTTTAGTTCTTTCAAGGTGATATGATCAAAAGAGAAATGTGTTTACACACTCCTACACTGTGCTACAGTTTGTGAGCTACCACAAGTACTCTTTTCTGCCTTGGGACCATGACCTGAATCCCTGTATAGGCAATGTAACAAAAGTCTGAAATTAGGGCTAGGAAAGTCACCCCTATAATTTCCTTCTGACCAGCTGCCCAGGCCCTTTACTGGGCTGAGAGTTCCAGAAGTCGCCACCACTGATTCATCCCAAAGCCTATGGCTGGCTTTCCAGGCCACTGCCTGTGCTGGGCTGTGTTCTATTCTCACCCATTGAGGGGGACCTTTTCTGTTGACCTTCTAAGTTGTCTTGGGCTGGAAAAATGTTTCAACCCATCCTTCTGTTGGTACTGCAGCTCCTGAATGCATTATTTTTAAGTTGTTTGGAGAGGAATTTGGGAGAGCTCATGTGAGTCCTTGCCTTTATTATACCACCTTGGCCGTACCCTCCACCAAAAACATTTCTGAGATACATACATCTCTATTTTATGCCTTGCTTGAGACCAATAATCAAAGGGACACTCTATCTTCTGTTATTAGGCATTTCAATAAACCTGGAATGATTTTGATATGTGCATACAGACATCTTACTAGAGGAAAGTTTATTAGGCAGCATTTTGCCCTACTAAATGAAACGCTTTTTTAATAAACAAATAAATACACAATGAGATCTTGGAATCTCTAGATTCTCAGTCAATTCTGTCACCATAAAGCTGCATATTCTGCTGAAAAACATCACTGCGAAGGTCTACCTATTCTCCTATCTTCACCAAGTATGCTTTTGATACATGTTTTCCTCATGCTCAAAGTTTTATAGAGATAAGAAAGCAGGTATATAAGTAGGTAGTTTAAATTTTCTCAATATCCTTTTTGGGTTAATAATTACATCAGATTCCCCTCCCTCCCCAGTATCTGTCCTTCTCCTCTTTGTTATCTTGAGAAGAAATCTCTCAATATTCTCGAAAGTATAAACTGTATACTCTGTCTGATCCAGCTGCTCTTCCCATCTGTTTTCATTACTGTCATTCCTAATTCATCATGAAGCTCATTAAGGACTGTGAGGTTAAGAATCTAAATGTAGTAGCTTTGCTCTGACTGATGGGGAACATTTTGTAACACAACAGACAAAACTTTTTTTCTCCATTTTTCATCTGTTTATTAATCTCCTTCCATTTTCATCCTTAAAGGTTCTCAAAATTACCTCAGGTTGTCTCTTGCCAAGGTCTCTCTACTGAGGAAAAATTGATCAGTCTTTCACCAAGAATTACCTCAGTTTCCTCATCTGATAAATGATGAGGGTGCTGGACTCGGTGATCTCTAAGGTTCCTTCCTGCTTTAAATCTATGATCCTCTGATCTATCAATACAGCAGATTTGGCTTCTAAGATTCTTTTAACTACATGTGGAAGAGGCTCCAGCCTCAACTAAACCTTTAAATAAAAGATAACTTAGAGTTACTACATGTTAATGGGAGGAAACAGACACAGACCATCTTCTCCATTCTTCCTTAAGAACCAAAGAGGAAGATAAAAGACTAAATTCATCACCTATTCCCAAAGCTGCTTTCCCCCAAGTAACTTATCAATTGCAGGTAATAGCACTATTATTTTCCTAGGCTCACTCTTAAGTTGTTGTTCAGTCTTCATGACTCCCATTTGGAGTTTTCTTGCCAAAGATACTGGAGTGGTTTGTCATTTCCTTCTCCAGATCATTTTACAGATGTGGAACCTGAGGCAAACAGAATTAAGCAACTTGCCCAGTGTCAAGATATTAGGAGACACCCTATCTTCCAGAGCTAAGGCCCAGCTTAGGGCTGTGCCCTAAGCCTGGCATAACAACAATCTTTTAATCATTTGGGCTCACCCTCTGGATGATCTCAGTCACAGGAAAACCTCAGAATTGTGATTTATGATTTTAACTATTTAGCCTTATTTCCCAAAGAATCCTGGCCTGAGAGCTGGAGCTACAGCTGCCTCATTTCAACAGAAAGTTAGCAATCACATCTCCTGACATTCTAATAATTCCTGTGCTTATAATAGCCAAGTGAAACGAACCAAGTACTGCACACTACTTTTCCCACTACGCTAACTCTATTTCTGTATGATGCTGAATGATCACAACGTTCAATGACCATTAAGACTTGAGACAATCAGAAAGCTCAATGATTCTGATAACTAGGGACTGTTCCCACAGGACCCAAGAACACTTGTACTGTGTCTCACAAAATGCCAACTGTGGGAACTATTTACTCAAAGCAAGTCTTGCTGCTTCCAAGCCCAGTGCTCTATCCATTGTGCCACCTAGCTGCCCCAATCTTAACAGTCCCCTTTAATTCTATCTTCATTACAATTGCATGGATATAATCAACTGTCAAATGTATCACTTCTACTTCAGAAATATCTTTTACACATATATGGTATCTCTCTAGATAGGCTCTCATCTTTTCTTGCACAGACTACTATAACAACATCTTCCACTCTTATCAAAGCAACAATAATAGGTTAACAATTTTACATCACGTTAAAGTTGCACTTTACATGTTATCTCACACAGCCCTCAGGAGCAGGTACTATTATTACCCCCTTTTAACCAATGAAGAAAAAAAATGTCAGACTGGCTAAGTGATTTGCCCAGGTACACACAACGAGTAAGTGGCTCAGGTAGGATTTGAAGTCAAGTACTTTTATCCACCACACCACTGGAATAAAACTCAAAAAGATATAGGGACTCCTAAATCAGACAAAAGCATCCCAGCTTTATACAGACTTAGAAACAATATATCTATATTATTTAAGTTCTACTGTATTTTATTTTGTTAAATCTTTCCTAATTACATTTTAATCTGGTGGAATCCACGTTTGACATTTCTGTATATACACCCCACCTTAACTGCCTCTTCATATCACTGCCCAAATAAACTCCCATTACCATGATCACATCATTCTTTAACTCAAAAACTTTCAATGGTTTTCGACTGTAAACCAAAGAATAAATTTCTGAAAACAGCATTCTACTAGCAAGACCCTCTACTATCTAATTTCAGTCTCTCTGTATAGCTTTCTCTCATACAACAGCCAAACTGGAATACTTCATATTCTCATCCTAACTCTATCACTTTGCTATATGCCAAAAAAGTCTTAATCTGTTTTAAGTCCAACTCATATAATCCTCCATTAAACCTTCTATGAACTGTCACCCCAGATGAAATATTATCTCCCAACTTCCATTTTACTATAGCATTTTGAATGGACCAATACATTTTAACTTCCTCAAAAGCAGTACCTATGCCTTATCTTTGTATCTCATTGTATATGCATGTATATGATAACTGTTGAAATTAATGTGTAAAAGAAATTATTGTGACAACTTAGGTATAAATATTGTTTTTAGAGCTCCCCCCCTACCTTTTGCATTTTAATATTACTATGTCCTTGGGGTAGCTAGGTGGTGCAGTAGACAGAGCACCAGCCCTGGAGTCAGAAGGACCTGAGTTCAAATCTGGCCTCAGACACATAACACTCATTAGCTGTGTAATCCTGGGCAAGTCACTTAACCCCAACTGCCTCACCAAAAAAAAAAAAAAGATTACTATGTCCTTAATAGATTTGTCAAAGGACACACAAGTAAAATGTGGATTTCTAGCTTCGTAATTTAGTGCTCATTCCACTACACATCATTCAGACAAAGGTAAATGTAAGAGGTACATGCTGAAAAACAAAGGGAAATAAAAGGTGTACAGTTCTCCCTCTTTTAAAATACACACACACAAACACATATATGAAAAAAAAAATTTTTAAGGGGCAACTAGGTGGCCCAGTGGAAAGAGCTCCGGCCTTGGAGTCAGAAGGGACCTGAGTTCAAAATCCAGCCTCAGACATTTGACAATTACTAGCTATGTGACCCTGGACAAGTCACTTAACCGCAACTGCCTCACCAAAAAGCAAAAACAATAAATTAATTATATTTAATTAATTAATTTTTAAACTTGAACATTTTCTAAAGCTAGGAATCAATATGGCAACATGTAGCACCTCCATTTGAAGCACCTTTTAAAACACATTGAGACAAATTTTCAAAACCCTATTAAAAACCATCTCAATACAAACATAGGATTATAATGTCAAGGACAACTAAGTAATCAGCTGCTAAAGGAAATAATGCTTGTCAAAAAAACCCTATATGAATTAGCAACAATAATAGTAAAAAATCGTGTGTATTCCCTCTGCTTTTTGGGTGTGAGGTAGATAATTTTCCATGGCGTTTCTAGCATATCTGTTAGCAACTCATTCCTAGAATATTTTATACATTAACAAAATACTGAGTGAAGTATTCATTTAAGGGCATGTTTTAAAAGGTTTTCATATTTTTAAGGGTGATCTATGGAAATGCATTTGCTTTATAACATTATATTTCTCATAGGCATTTTCTGCTTAATACACAACTTTCTAAGAATATTCTACATAATGCTTGAATAGGCAAAGGGTTTTGTTTTTTAAAGACAATATAAGAAAAAGGAATCCATTTTAGTTACATCTATATGACACTAGAGAATTCAGTATAAGATAGGTCTGCCTTAAGACTTCAAACTACCCAAAAGACCTCATTATACTGTGACTTGATTTTATAACATATTTCCACAACATGGATGGCAAGAACAATATTACAACAACATTCCTACATGTTTATTTCAATTTGAAGCATATTAAAGGTTCTGAATTGAAAAAAAAAACCCTCACTTTTGAACAATTGAACTTACATTGTTTTTAGGATCTTTCAAATTGAACATCAAGCTTCTATATTTGTTCTTGTATTTGGCATCAGTATCCCGAAAAAAAGAAAAAAGTTCCTTTTCAATTTTTGTTGCAACTTTGGATGCCCGTTCCTCTGGGATCTTCAAATTTGAATCTGTAAGTCTTAAAACAACAACAATTTTTTTAAATTAACCAAAGATTAGTCTATCTTTTACAATGCTACCATGATTATATTACCTTTTCATGAGAATGTCTTTAAGAGAGTGTTTGACACTTTGTCTGATCTGGTCTGCAGAAGGTTTGGAAGTAGGAGTAGGGGGTGTGTGCACATTAGGCAATCCTGCTTTCTCAGTTTTCTTCTTTTTTAACTCTGGCTTTTCATGTATACCTAATTGAAATAAAGTGGAAAATTTACTTAAAAACAAAGTCCATGTAAAGTTGCTTGAGGAAAATTAACACATTAAGAGTCCATGTACTTTTTAAAAGAACTGTCAAAACTACTGAAAATAAAAAATCTGAAATTTGATCTCTGTCCTTCTAAAAATTTTGCATACATGTTTTCCCTTCCAAGTAATTATTTTCATAAATTAAGGAATATAAATGACTCAAAGTAATTTAGAAAATACATTCCTTGTCCAAAGGGCTATAAAAATGTGCATACCCTTTGACCCAGCAATACCACTTCTAGGGCTGTATCCCAAAGAGATCATAAAAATGGAAAAAGGACACACATGTACAAAAATATTTATAGCAGCTCTTTTTGTGGTGGCAAAGAACTGGAAATTGAGAGGATGCCTATCAACTGGACAACGGCTGAACAAGTTGTGGTATATGAAGGGAATGGAATTCTATTGTGCTATAAGAAATGATGAACAGGCTGACTTCAGAAAAACCTGGAAAGACTTGTATGGACTGATGCTGAATAAAGTGAGCAGAACCAGGTGAACATTGTACACAATAATAGCCAAGGTGTTCGAGGACTAATGTTGATAGACTTAGCCCTTCTCAGCAATGCAAGGATCTAAGAGCTCTCCAAAGGTCTCATGATGGAAAATGCTATTCACATCCAAAGAAAGAACTATGGAGTTTGAATGCAGATGGAAGCATACTATCTGCTATTTTTTTTCTTCTGTTTTGTTTCCTCTTTCTGGTGGTTCTTCCTATTGGTTGTAATTCTTCCTTACAACATCACTAATGTGCAAATATGTTTAACAGGAATGTATATGTAGAGCCTATACCAGATTGTGTGCCATCTTGGGGAGGAAGGTGGGGAGAAAAATTTAAAACTCAAAAGCTTATGAAAGTGATTATTGATAAATCAAAATAAAATTTAAAAAAGAAAATACATTCTTTAATATAGGCTAAGTAAATAGCTTATTTTTAAAAAGTTTCTTTTCCCTTTATTTTTATCTGCTGCACTAGTACACTCATAAAACTAATAGTGAAAAAGTTGATTTTTAACTGTTGAAAGTTATTCACCTGAAAACTGGAGTCACAATTTGGAAGCTATCAAGTATAAAATAACTTTATTTTACAGAGGAGAAAACTGAGGCCTAGAGCTTAAGTGATTGCTTATGGTCAGAAAAGTCATTAGTCCTACCTGAGCACAAAACTTCCTGAGGCTTAATTCCAAATGGATACACCAGCAGGCACTATTAACAGGTGACTTTTTAAAAATTCTATTTTAACTTCTAAATTTTTTTCCTCCTTTCTCTCCCTCTCCACCCACTGAGAAGACAATAAAAACAAAATCCTTGTAAATGTGGACAGTGATGCAAAACAAATTCTCACGTTAGCTATGTCCAAGAAAATATGTTTCAAACTGTACTCTGAGTCCATCAGTTCTACTACCTGGAGGTGGATAACATGTGTTACCCAAGAATTCTTTTGAATGATGATTAATCATTGAATTGATCAGAGTTCTTATTTTCCTTTTTTCAAAGCTGATAATCCTTACATTATTGCTGTTATCATATAATTTGTATTCCTACTTCTGCTCTGTACACTTTACATTAGTTCATAAAAATCTTCCCAGGTTTTTCTGAAACCACCCCCCCCTTTATCGTTTACGGCAAAAAAAGATTGATCTACCACATCTTGCTCAGTCATTCCCTAACTGATGAGAATCTCCTCAGTTTCCAATTCTTTGCCACTACAAAAAGAGCTACTATAAATATTTTTGTACAGAGAGCTCTTTTTCCTCCTTCTTTGATCTCTTTGGGACATAGTTCAAAGCTGCTTTTCAGAATAGCTGGACTAATACAGCTCCATCAACAGTGTATCAGTGTACCTGTTTTCTTGCATCTGTCACTTTTTTTGGTCATCTTAACCAATCTGATAAATGTGCTGTGAGGTGGTAGCTCAGAGTTGTTTTAATCTGCATTTCTCTAATTACTGGTGACTTTTTAGGAAACTGCTTTCTGGGTTCTCCTTGGTTCTCCAAAATTTCTCAGTCTCCTTTGCTAGATCCATATCACTTCCCCAAACTGTGGATACATTGACCTGTCCCAAATACCCTTTCTCTTTCTTCATTTTTCTTCTGGGTGACCATATGAGCTCCAATAAGTTTAATTATCATCACAAATGACCCCCAGACCTATGTATTCAGTACTAATCTCTAAGTGCCTAGTGGAAATAACTTGTCCTTTCCTATCTCCACAACATGTATTACATCTATTTTCTTCTATCCAATCACACATCAAGCACTATAGTTCAGGTCACAATCATTTTTCCCCTGGACTACTGCAATAGATATCTAATTGGTCTTCCTGTTAAGGTCTAACCCCACTTCAATCTTTTCTCAAGACAACTGCCAAAGTGATATTCCTAAAGTACAGGTATCACCATGTCACTCCTCCATTCAACAAACTCCAATGATTTCCTATTATCTCTAGGATCAAATACAAACTGTTTGGTATTTAAAATTCTTCACAACTTACCTTTCTAACCTTATTATACATTACTCCTCTTTAGGAACTCTATGGTCCAGTCAATCATGTATTCTTACTAGTCTTCAAAGGTGGCACAGCAATTCCCATCTCCGTACCTTTGTATTGACTATCCTCTTGTTCCCAGAATGCATTTCCCCCCTCCACCTCTCAGAACTCAAGACTTTTTTTTAAATACTCAGATGCAACCTTCTACATGAAGCCTTTCTCCCTCCCTGTCCCATATGATCCCATCATCTAATACCTCACCTACATTATTCTCTATCTACTTGCCTATATCAGGGGTTCTTAACTCAAGGTTCATAAACATGCTCCTTTGTAATATTCTGGTAACTATATTTCACAATAACTAGTTTCCTTGGTAATCCTATGTATTTTATATATTAAAAACATTATTTTGAGAATGGGTCTAGACATACAGCATTTTGCCAGACTTGCCAAAGAAGTTCAAAACACAAAAAAAAGTTAAGAATCCCTGCAACAAATGGAATCTAATGACTTTATGAGAAATCAAAAACACAATAAAACAAAACCAAAAGAATGAAAAAATATAAGACAATATGAAATATCTCACTGGAAAAACAACTGGCCTAGAAAATAGATCAGGAGAGAGAATCTTAAAATTATTGGACTACTTAAAAGGCATAACCAAAAAAAAAAAAGAGAGACTAAACATCATCTTTCAAGACATTATCAAGGAAAACTGCCCTAATTTTCTAGAACCAGAGGGTAGAACAGAAACTGAAAGAATCCACTAATCACCTCATGAAAAAGATCGCAAAATGAAAACTCCAGCACATTACAGCCAAATTCCAGAGTTGCCAGCTCAAGGAGAAAATACTGTAAACGGCCAGAAAGAAACAATTCAAGTATCATGGAACCACAGTTAGGATAATGCAAGATTTAGCAGCTATCATTAAAGGATCGGAGGGCAAATGAGCTAGGATTACAAGCAAGAATCACCTATCCAGCAAAACTGATTATAATCCTTCAGGGGGAGAAAAATCGACATTCAATGAAATAAAGGACTTTCAAGCATTCTTGATGAAAAGACCAGAGCTGAGTAGAAAATCTGACTTTCAAATACAAGACTCAAGGAAATACAAAAAAGGTAAACAGGAAAAGAAAATCATAAAGGACTTACTAAGGTTAACCTGTTTGCTTGTAACTCATGACACTTGTAACTCCTGGGAACTTTCTCATTATTACGGCAGATAGAAGGAGTATATATAGACAGACAGCAGAGGTGTGAGCTGAATATGAAGGGATATCCAAAAAAATAAAATTAAGGGGTAAGAGAGGGATGTACTGGGGAAAAGGAAGAAGTAAAATAGGATAAATTATCTCAGATAAAAGAGGCAAGAAAAAGCTTTATACAGCAGGGGGAAAGAAGGGGAAGGCCTTAATCTCATCAGAATTGGCTCAAAGAGGGAATAACAGACACACTCAGTTGGGTATAGAAATCTCTTAGCCTACATGAAAGTAGGGGGGGAAAGGGATAAGAGAATGGGGGAGGGGGCAGTCAGAAACAAAATACTTTTGAGGAGGGAAAGAGTGAAAGAAAAGAGGGAATAGCACAGGGATAGGATGGAGGGAAATACAGTTAGCAACAGTAACTGTGAAAAAAATTTTGAAGCAAGTTTCTCTGATAAAGGCCTCATTTCTCATATAGAGAAGTGAGTCAAATTTATAAAAATTAGAACCATTCCCCAATTGACAAATGATCTGAACAGTTTTCAGGTGAAGTAATCAAAGCTATCTATAGCCATATGGAAAAATGCTCCAACTTACTATTGACTGGAGAAATGCAAATGAAAATAATTCTGAAGTAATAACTCACACTTATCAGATTGGCTAATAGGACAGAAAAGGAATCTGACAAATGTTGGAGGGGATATCGGAAAAATAAGACATTGATGCACTGTTGGTGGAGCTGTGAACTGATTCAACAATTCTGTAGAGCAATTTGGAACCATGCCTAAAGGGCTATAAAACCATGCATACCCTCTGACTCAGCAATACCACTACTAAATCTGTGTACCAAATGAGATTAAAAAAAACAAAAAAGGAAAAGGACCTACATGTACAAAAATATTTATAGTAGCCCTTTTTGGGGGGCAAAGAACTGGAAACTGAGTGGATGCCCATCCACTGGGGAATGACTGAACAAATCGTGGTATGTGATTATGATGAAATACTATTGCACTATAAGAAATGATGAGCAGAATGCTCTCAGAAAAGCCTGGAATGACTTACATGGGCTGATGCAAACTGAAATGTACTGTGTACAAAGAAATAGCAATATTGTAAGATCAGCTGTGAATGACTTAGCTATTTTCAGCCACACAATGATCCAAGACAATTCTGAAGGATTTATGATGAAAAATGCTGTCTTATCCCCAGAGAAAGAACTGATGGTGTCTGAATACAGACTGAAGCCTAAGTTTTTTACTTTCTTTATTTTTCTTGAGGGTTTTTTTTGTCTATGTTTTCTTTTACAACATGAGTATTATGGAAATGTTTTGCATGACTACACATGTATAAGCTCTATCAAATCACTTGCCTTCTCAGTAAGAGGGGTGAGGAGGAAGAAGGGGATAGAATTTGAAACTCAAAGTTTTAAAAATGAATGTTAAAAATAGTTTCTACATGTAACTGGTGGAAAATAAAAAAACCCCTAAATATAAATAATAACAAGAAAAAAAAGAATCCCTGCAATATATGTATACACCAACCCTAATAAAATATAGGCTCTATTCAGGGCAAGGACTGCTTAACTTTTATCTTTATATCTGAAACATCTAGCACATAAAAAGCAATTAAAATGTTTGTTGACTGACTGGAGCAGAAGAAACCTTGAAACAAGGCACTTAAAGAAGTATCAAATTTCCTTACCTGTACTATTATTTCACTGTATTAAATTAATAAAGTAACCATGAGTTAGACCTTCAGAAAATCTTATTGATGAAAAAAAAAATTCTACTATTATGAAGAAATACATTTCTTGTAATGGAAATACATCTAAACACTTTTAAGACATTTTGAAAACTAAAGAACTTCTCCAAATGGTCTAGGCAGTAGCATATGCCATGAAATATAAATACAGTAGTGGAATACTTTCTGTCAAGTTCCATACCTGACTTTGTGGTTTTTTCACCTGTGCAAAAAACAGTCGTAGACTCTTTCATAATTTTTTCATTTTTCTCTTCTGAGGATCTCCGGGGTAAAATTGTTTGTCCCATCTTTCGAAGAGGAGCCAGTTGCCATTTTTTAATTTCAGAATCTCTATATTCTGATGAATTTTTACCATCCCCAGATTCCTGAAAAAATATTTAATTCGATTAATTTAATTCCATACAATGAAAAACAAACTGCTGGCATCACAGCATAACAGACTGAGAGTGGGTCTTGGAATCAGGAAGTCCTGCATTCAAGTACTACCTCTGACAAGCAAGTCCTCTAAGACTGGAGAGCCACAGAGAAGGAAGATCTGCACTGTTAAGACAAAATTTCCTCAACAGGAGTTCCTTATGCCAATAAAATCACAGTTTGAGCCAAAACAGGAAAAAGAAAAATACACACTTAACAGTAAAGCCAAATTATAAAATAATAATCATAATCATAATTTGTGAAAAAATTTAAAAGCGGAACACTATTTTAAGATATCAAGTCTTTAAGTTCATGTAGTACAGTAAGCTCTCATTTGTCTATAAATAGATTTTACAAAACTTTTTGTTTCTTGCCCACCCTCCCCAAAACCAGCTATCAGGTTTTTACAACTGAAAAAAAGAATAATAACCATGCAGGGAGCTGTGAATTGGCCTAGTAATCCTGGAAAGCAATCTGAAACTATACCTCCCAAAGCCATCAGACCGTGTATACCCTTTGACTCAGAAACATCTCTCCTAGATCTATAACCCATAGAGATCAGAGATAGAGGAAAAGGATCCATCAGTTAAGAGAGATTTTTTTTTAACACCTAATGACACTAACGAGGTGGCACGGAGCCTACAGTCAGAAAGACTTGTCTTCCTGAGTTCAAATATGGCCTTAGACGCTAGCTCAGTGACCCTGGACAAGTCACCTGTTTGTCTCAGTTGCCTCATCTGTAAAAAAAAAAAAAAGCTCTAGAGAAGGAAATGACAAACTATTCCAGTATTTTTGCCAAGAAAACCCCAAATGGGGTCATAAAAAGTCAGACACTATTGAAACAAATCAACAACAAAAAATTTATAGTGGCAGGAAACTAGAAATTAAAAGGATGCCCATAAATTGGGGAATGACTGAACAGATTAGGGTATATGAATGTAATGGAACATTTCTGAGTCATAAGAAATGATAAAAAACATGGCTTCACAGAAACTTGAGAAGTCTTATATAAAACTTTGTATAAAGACAGAAGTGAATAACACCAGGAGAACAATTTCTACAATAATATCATATAAAGACAAACTATTTTAGAAGACTCAAGAACTCTGATCAATTCCAGAGGACTGATTATGAATCAAGTTCCCTATCTGCTTAAGAGTTGACAGATATAATATGCAGAATGAGTCATACATTTTTGGAAATAAGCAAAGTAGGACTGTTTTCCTTGATTATCCATATTGCTTACAAGGCTTTAAAAAAAATTTCAGTGGGAGAAGGGAGGAGGAAGAGAAAATAGATGTCTATTAATTGGAGAAAAAAATAAGTGTTACCCTTAAAAATGATAAGCAGGTGGGAAATTCATACATGTTCAATAAGGATTTATTAAGGCATTTGTAGGAAAAACAATGTACCAGTTATGAGGGACCAAAAAGAGTAAAGGGCACTACTATCACAGGTTTCCCAACTCTATGAGATACAGGTAACAAAACCAAACACATATGTTTAATTTGAAATTAAGCTAAAATCACTAAGACAAAACAGTAACAAAATTCATTTGAAGGAATAAAATGTCTAGAACTTTAGTGGATATGGATATAATGAGAAAAGGCACAAAGGAAGGGTGCATAGTATATAACCAGACCTCAAATGATACTATAAAACAGTTGTCACCAAAACTAGCTCTCATTTAAATTTTAAAGGAAAAAAAAAAGGAAAATCGGAAAACAAGAAAACTAGAAAACAAGAAAAATAAGCAGTCAGAAACATTAGCTCAGTATATGACAAACTCAAGATCAAAAAATTAATGGAGTAAAGACTCTCTTTTTGACAAAAGCTATTGAGAAAACTGGAGAACATATTGGTAGAAATTAGTCACTTTTCTTGCAAAATTCCAAATAGCTAGAATGGGTATAACAGTTCAGAGTCTCACCAACAATGACTGTTGTTCTGAAGCCCCTTTCACATTGACTATTCTAATTTTTGTGATCCTAAAAATTATACAATAGGCTCAAAACAGACATCCAACAAGAATTTTTTAAAATTATTAGAGAATGGATATACTTTACACAATTATGGATTGAAGGAAAATTTACCAAAGAATAGAAGACAAAGAGAATATCAACTATAAAACCTCTCCACAAATCAAATCAATGAAGGTAGAATAAAAAGAGAAAGTAAAAACTGGGGGAAATTTTTGCTTCAAATGTCACCAGCAAAAGTCTTCTATTTAAGATGTAATGGGGGTGCGGGAGAGATATAAACGTATGTATGTACAAACACAAAAAGTCATTTTCTACTAAAATGGTCAAAAAATAGGTACAATTTTCATATCCATCCCATCTGACAAAAAGCCAGTCCAATACTGTGTAAACCTATGGAAGTGAAAGCTAGAAATAAAGGTTTAAGATATATTGTTTTAACAGCATTCCTTTTGGTAACAAAAAAGTAAAAACAAATTGGGTGCCCATCAACTCGGAAATAGCTGAAAGAGATTATACGAATATAAGGGAAGATTCTCGTCCAATAAGAAACGAGAGAAAAACGAGAAGATTTATATGAAAGCAGACATCTCCCTACCAAAAAAAATGCATGTAATGACTACAAAAATGTGAATGAAAAGATAACTAAAAGGAAGCTAAACTCTTGAATAACTAAAACACCAATAATGATTCAAAGGATAACGAAAAAATGCCTCTTCTCTGGGCAGAGAGGCAGGGAACTACTCATATAGCATATGATATACAGTAAGCACTTAATAAATGCTTACTGAGTGAATGACTTGGAAAAAACGTAGTACACATTGTCATATAGGGTTATTTTTGTCAGCTTTGGCTTGTTTTTTTCAATTAAAATTTTGAGTGGGGGGAAGGGGAACGTTTCAGAAATAATTGTTATGAGGACAAAAAGCATCAATAAAATGAACATCAAAGAAATTTTCAGAATTTCAAAACAATCATAAAAGGTAAATTCCCAGCAGGGTGTACATGAAGGAGAAAAAGCATTCTTTTTTTTTTCTTTCTGAGGCAATTGGGGTTAAATGACTTGCCCAGGGTCATACAGCTATTAAGTGTCTGAGGTCACAGTTGAACTCGGGTCCTCCTGACTCCAGAGCTGGTGCTCTATCCACTGCGCCACCTAGCTGCCACTTAGAAAAAAAGTATCCTTAAGATATAGCCTAGGTAAGGGAGAGGGAGAAGAGGAAAAAGAGAAAGAGGAGTTTGGGGAGCAGGGGAAGACCAAGGGATCTGCCATATCCCAGAAACAAAACCAATTATTTCCCTAGAAAAATGTGAGATTTAGTGGGAAATACAGTACATGACCCTTCATGACCCCATTTAAGATTTTCTCAGTAAAGATACTAGTATGGTTTGCCATGTCTATCTCCAGCTCATTTTACAGATGACAAAACTGAGACAAACGGGTAAGTGACTTGCCCAGGTCACACAGCTACTAAGTGTCTGAGGCCAAATTTGAACTCAGAAAGATAAGTCTTCCTAACTCCAAGCCCAGCACTCTTTCCACTGAGCCACCTACCTGCCCATACAGCACAGGAACAAAACCTAAAAACAACTTTAGCAAAGAAATTAGGTAATGATGTGTAATAAAACATAAACTTAAGTACTGAACAAATTCAAAAGGGAAAATGGAGGAGGGGATTGTCAGAAATGTTTCAGCTAAATCTTGAATAAAATATAAATACAGCATTTTAATAGGCTGAGAAGAAGAAAACAAGTAAGGGTAAAAGCATAAGTAAAAGTACAAAGATTATAATAAGCAGAATTTATATTACAGCAGAAGGAGGTGCAACAAAAACTGATTTTACATTCCTAAGATCATAAACTTACTGCTGGTCAACTAGTCTAACCCTCATATTTGGGGGAAGAGGAAACTGAGAATCACAGAGGTGGAGTGACTTGAATAAGGTCACACAGAGAGTGAGGGGCAGAGCTGTGATATGAACTGAAATCCTAGACTCCAAATCCACTTCTCTTTCTACTACATGTTATAAGAGGTAAGCCTAACCACGTTAAGTGACACTTCAAATGTCAGTGAAGAACACAGATTTGAACTAATAAGTTAAACTGAGTCTTCGTTGATTTCTGATAAGGGAAGTAATGTGATTAAAGCTGTATTTTCAGAAGATTAACCTGGTAACAATATACCTGAAAGCTGGACTAAAGCAGGGAGAAGACTAGAAACAAAACCAGCTATTATAGTAGTATCCAGGCACAACGGGAAAAGTCTATAGTTTAATTTGTTAATGTGAAGAACAGAGGAAGGGATATAGTGCCCAGGTGACACTGCAGAAGGACTGAATGGATAGAAATGAGCATAGATTTTGATCCACACTGATTTAGTGGTCTAACCAAACCAATTACGTAAGATGCAATAATTCAAAAGTTTATCTAACTTTTCTTCCTTTTGTTAGGAAGAATAAAAAGGTTAGTTATATATTCAGAACTGAGAAAACTTAACCATTAAATTAAAAGTCATATAAAAAGGTAACTAGAATAAAAGAAATTAATATGATTTTTCAGGAAATGCTGCTTTTACTTCCCATGTTTCCCATCACTAAAGTAAAACATTAACATTTCCATGGCATTTCTACAAGGTAGACATTTCTTGGTATAGCAAAAAAATTTATATTGGCCTCTAAGTTTTAACAGTTCCACATCTTAAGAAATTAGAGAGGCTCAGAGGAAATAGAATTATTTTTCCTAGACAAGACTGCTATTCCCAAGAGGGAAAAAAATCTCAGCTTAAGAAAAATAATGCTAACTTGGGTAAGAAATGCCTGTCAATGAAAATAATACATTTTTTTTTACAAACTAAACAAATATATCTTTGTTTTAGCCTTATTAGAAAGTCTGGTTTATACACCAGGTTATTAGAATTTATATATCTAACAATTCATGCAGGAAAAGACCAAAGAAAATATTAAAATACACAAAAACAATAAAGAGGTCAAAAAGTAATAATCATATCTTTTGAAAACAGTAAGTCTTTTTTAATATCAAGGAACCTAAATTACCTACACATGAAAGAAGGCCAGTAGTAACTTAAAAAGTGAGTGTAGGAAGACTTGGGTTCAGTTTCCAACCCATCATATACTGGCTGTGTAACATTACACTAGTCATTACCTTTAAGCTATTCAGGCAACTCATAAAACTACAAATTTAACTAAGAGTTGATGATCTGCTTTGATAGTTTTCTCACAGTGAGTTAGCTTTATCAATGTAATCACAACTCCAGACAAAACACTTTGTTTAAAAAGAAACCTCAAAATGTCCAAATTTAGAGTAAATTCTCATTCTAATAATTCTTGTCTAAAGAAAATTCTAACAGTAGCTAAATGTACAAGTATTAATGAGAATTTCACCTGTCACATTTTTGGACATGGCCAATGTAAGGATTTTTTTTAATCTTGCAAATTTATTAAGAGTTTTATTTTTCTCTTTTATTAATGGGGAAGGAGGGGAAGAAAAAAATGCTTGTTATTGAGAAAATTTTTTAAGGAAACCTAAAAAAAGAATCTTACCCGTCTTAAAATTTTGACCTTGTGCTTTGTTGTATCATCTACATGTCTGTTTTTTTCATTTGTAGGTGCTTGCTTAGATAAACCAAGTTTTTCACAATCCATTGCTTTATCTTCTCTATGAACTTCAATTTTAGCTTGGTTTTCCAAAACTTCTGAATCCAAAGTTTCACTCTTTTTATCTTCTTCAGCACAACATTTCACACATACATATTCTTTGTCTTCTTCTCCCATTTGCTGTGCTTGGGAAAGGCTTAACCCTACACAATCTCCATGAAACCAGTCATCACATCTCCCACAGCCAACCATAAACCTGAAAAGAAAAATCTTTCAATTAATAAAGCTTGTCTAAAATTTACACTCAAATTTATTAACTGGTTCAAAATAATGTTACTCAAAAAAAATTGGTCCTATTACATTTTACATACTATCTCAAAATTCCCTACAATGCAAAGTTCAAGTTATTCAACTTGTTGACATCTACCATGTTTTCTTTATTATTGGACACATAATTCTTTTCTGACATATTTTAGAGAAATATAAAACTTAAAAACTAAATTTGTAAACAGAAAACCTACAAAGAAATTATGATAGAACACCAACATTAACATTAATGTTAAAACATTAACATCGTCCCTATGTTAAAAGACATGATATGTATGTGTGTATACACAACTGACATGATAAACCCACACAAAAGCATCCAAAGATTCTGGTCTGCAATATAATTTGTTCACAAAATCATACACTCAAAATCAGACACTCTTCAAACTACATGACAATCAAGTTCACAATTACTGAGTCCACAGATCACTTCAAAATGACAAGGAGTTTGGGAGGAGAGAATTCCACTACTGGTAACAAGTGATGAAAGTGTTATTTCAAAATTACCATCATAAGGACTATAACTGTTTTCAAAGCAGTTACTAGTCAATTTCCAATGTTACCTATTTTAAGTGGTTCTTTATGATTTAATAGAAATTATTTTAGCTCTTAAAAACAATGTTTTTCCTCCCACTTCTGAAGGCAGAAAAAAAAAATGTCCCTTGATCAAGGCCTATTGTTAGAAATATTTTAATTCACTTAATAATGCAAAACTAGTATCTCACAATTATTTATTTAATGAATCCTATCTCAAAAATAACCTCAAATCCTAAGGACTAAATAGGAACTAAAGCATGAACGATTTACTAATGAGAACTTTTTTCTTTTGGTGGGGACAATTCATGTTTTCAGAATTACTTGAAAATAGGGTCTTCTTAGGCTTACGCACAGCAAATTGCTAATAATTTTTATTCAATTTTAAATAATATAGAAAATTTGTAGAAATATTTTTATTTTTCTCTCCAGAGCAATACTGCTTAACTGCTTAACAAGGGAAGACGTCACATAATAGTTTTAGCCATACTCATTACATGCCTAAAATAATGCCTCTCAAATTCTCTCTGGACTATCCTGGCAAGGGAAGACACCATATCATCAAACTGCTTACCCCACCAAAACTCCTTTTAAAACACCAGAGTAAACTTGTGCTGCTTCCAAACACTATTATGGTAACTTTTTAATAAATTAATTCTTCATCAAAGATATAACTATAAAGTATTACTAGTGGGAAGTAGCTTACAAAACTAGCATAAAACCTTAATTTGATCATTAGGGATGCACGAGGTCCTACAGCCACAAACCTTCTCCCTCTTCTAGTAAAATAAAATAGACCCTGCAGACATGAAGTTTATTCTTAAAAATTAAATATTTAGGGGCAGGTAGGTTGCCCAGCGGATAGAGCACCAGCCCTGATGTCAGGAGGACCCAATTTCAAACCTAGCCTCAGACCAAACAAATACTTGACACTTACTGGCTATGTGACCCTGGGCAAGTCACTTAACCCCAATTGCCTAAAAAGAAATTTGTACTATTCAGTATATATTACGCAATTAGATATTCTTTCTTGTTACAAATTCCTCTATAATCTTGCATTATCAGCATCATCCTTATTACCAAAGATAATCTAACCAAAAAAATTCGTTTTAGAATTTAGCAGTATCTTGAAAAAGATGAGTATTCACTTGAATTTATGCTCATCTATACTAACGTTTATGTTGGATGGTATTTATATATATTAAGGACTTTCATTATTATTCTTATAACTTGTTCTAATAGCTCATCTTGAGCTTTCATCTTCACAAATTTATTTCTTATTTGTAAACAAAACATGATGTTCACTGAATATACAACTTAGAATTCTTTGGGGCTGATGTAAAAAAAAAATACAACCAGGAACTAAAAATACCCCTAAAAATACCCCCTATCTAAGTTTTAGGGTATAATCCAAAGTACTGGCTTCTCAAAAAGACACAAACAAAAAAAAACCCAGAATGGATTCTGATATCCTAATTACTTTATCTACCACTGTGCCCTTTAAGGCCACCAAAAAGCCAAGAAACGACTTTTTGTTTTGTTTTCTTAAATTAAGCGTCTTTTCTGGTTTCAATTTGCAGTAACAAAAATATTCTCGCAATTTTTTTAGATGAACTCCTTAAAATTATTAAGACAATAAATCCTTGAGAAGGGTACATGAAGGTGCTTTCTTTTTCCAAATGATGACTCTATAATTCTAATTCATCACTTGGTCAAAAAGATAAACTCTCTTTCCTCTCAAAGGAAACTTGCTATAAATTCTCAAATGTTTCTAGATCCAAATTAGATGTTTATAGATACAAAGTTCCCTCCCCACCCCAAAATCCCTTAGATGCTGCATCCAAATCGAATTCAAGTTCTTATATGGACAACATTTCTAAGGTTTTCAAAATGATGTTCAATGCTGATTATGAAAATGAAATACAAATGAACATCAATGTTTCAGAAAAGACAGGGGGTCCCAGATCTTCCATGTAATTACCCATGTGACTTTTGAGCAAGGAAATTTACCTCCCATGGACTGTTTCTCTATAAAATGAAAGATATAGACTAGGTTACCTCCAATCCTTTTACACTAAAACTCCTATAATTCTCTACTTCAAGAACCCATGATTTCATTGGTATGGCTATATTCTCTAGTTCAAATCAACTTTTCCACACCTTAGGAGATGTTTAGTGAAAATCTTTGCTTTTTGGCCAATCCTCTGCTAACTCTGCTAAAGTAACCCTTGAACAGCCAAGTCCATCGCTGGTCATGTACTTAAAAACCTTTTCCTCCTTATTAGGACCTACCACAGGTTATAGTCTGCTGACACATCCTTCGAGAATTGTCATCCCCATAGCATGAAGAGGACTAGAGTGATCAATCCTGTGCTTAGTTTGAATAAGCCTTCATGACTAGGCAATTTATAAATGTCTTCCAAGATACTTCAGTCTAGTTTATTTTGAAAATATTACAAATTTCTATTTAAACAAGGATCTAGTGCCATCTATGGAAGTACACAGCTACCTTTTAACACTTTAGATTATGTGTAATACTAACAATGAAAAACGAACAGATTAGCATTCTTATCACTACTTCTAAATGTATGAGAAATTAAGAGTGAAAAGCATTATTCACTAACCTTAAAACTAAAATGATGGCAAAATGGATCCCCAAATAGGGTAATGGATGCAGATACAAATTAACAATTAAAATGTAATACAAATTTCATTATTGAGATAAAATGAGAATTGGCTATCAGGGGGGGAAAATGCATTAAATCCAAAAGCATTTTTTTTAGTGTTTTAATGTTTCCCTTTTCATTATAAATTTATGTAAGGGGCCCACATTCCCTCACCTCCAACCCTCCCTCCCCAAAAATATCTATGGTTTCAATCTTCCCTCACATTTACCTTTAGCAAGTAGCAGTGAATGAAACTGTTTGAAAAGGTAGCAAGGAAACAATGAAAGAGAACTTTTAAGTTATTCTCAAAAACTGTGCTGAGTGAGATTGTATCTCTAAGTCAATTTAGCCACCCGGTTTACATACATATTTTTCATTCTCTACTGGAGTTTAAAATGTGCACACAAAAGATATGTATACAAGGCCATTTCAAATTAAGAAATCTGAATCTTATCTTTGTGTTTTTGAAATTAAATAAAGAAGGGTCAAATAAAAATAGGAGAGTATTCAGATTTCTTCAAAGTCCCGGATTTCGGGAGTTGGGAGCAGGGTTAAAATGAGCATTATGTTGTTATTAAGCTCTTTTATTTTCCAACTTTTTTTAAAGGGGAGGAGACAAGAGAAACAAAGGGAAGCACCTAGGACTGTCATTTTAACAATGGTACATCCAGGTTTCATATCAGATTTTTTTTGGTGCTTCTGATGTCACAGCCTTAGCTAGTGTTTATCTCTATCACGCCAAATTCTGTGATATTCCAGTGTAGTCATTAATATATTCTAAACCATCTGAATTCGATTTTATAATATACTAATTTTAATGTATAATATTTCAGTTTATAGAAACATAGCTTCTTTATTTTTGGAAAGTTATTCAATGAGCAACTCTCCAGAAAAAAAATTATCTTAGAATTTAAAAAGGAATCCTGGATGGAAATCAGAACCAACTAATCCAAGTTTATCTTTAGGCATCAAAGGGTCTCAATTTGAAGAAGTGGTTTTCCTGTTGATTATCATAATATGAATTCCCTTTCTCTAAGAATTATTTTCTGCATTTTATCAAATGTTCATTTTCTGCAGAAGGGTCAAGAAATTGAAGGCAGAATCCTAAGATACAAAATTATTCCAGAAAAATTAGAGGAAGATAGGAATTGAAAACAATGAGACCTGACTAGGCATTAATTTCCTTTAAGGATTCATGGGTACGCTAAACAAGTTTGATTATAAAATTGCAAGATGAAAAAATAATTCCACGTAAAAAAGCCAGAAAACGTAAACAAAACATTTCAAAAAAACCATGTCATGGTGTTCAAATTAGTAGATGTTTTACTAGGTCAAATGACAAATACATAAATGACACCGTCGAGCTACTTCACTCCTAAAAACAAAATGTAAAAATACCTAAAATCTAATTTTAAAAAGAATCTCTGCTTGGGAGCATCTTCAAAAATAGTTAACTTTTCCAGCACAAATTTCTTCACAATCCCATTAGTTTAACTACAATTAGATAAAATTGATCTCTAAAAGGCAGTTGTCCACCAGTGCTAACATTGGGAAAATATTTCATATAAACCATTTAACACAAAAAAATGGTGATAAGTAGAGAGAAAAATGCATTAGAGAAGGTAGATGAAAATTGTCTCCAGATTTGCCCAAACAAGTTCAACGTTAGACATCAATGAAAGGGGCAAGTTTTATGTTGCACTACAACTGCATTTTGTTAAGTAAATTGATTACATGCCAAGGAAATACACCAGAAGAGTCAATTTCTTACATAGTCACAAAATATTAATCACTTAGTTCTTAATAAAAAACTAAATGCTTCAAAAGTCTTCCAAAAAAAGGTGAACTTCTATAAGTTTATCACACAGTGCAAGTCAGTCATAAATCCTTTTTAATCTACACTAAGTCAACGTTAGCACGGATGAAATGGGAATTTGGTAACCCTACATTAAAGGAACATTCAGTTTATACAAGCTCAACAAAATAGTCAAAGAACAGAGAAGTTCACTTTTTGATGAATCATCTAAATGAATCATGAATCCCTTAGATGTCATGATTACGTTTCAAAAACAAAAATTATATTAAAGCATAGACACAGAATTCAGGAGGAGGGGGGGAAGCAAAAATAATGGCAATGAGGACCTATTAAAAAAAAAGTACACAAATGCCTACCAATCCTGTGGTACAGTTTTATTTAAGGAACTCAAACTAGTATAACACTCCTAATACTCCATTCTCCCTGAGCAACTTGAGGAAATTATTATGGAGAAGTTTTCTCCCCTCAGACCGGAGAACAAATGACTTATAAAGACCTTTCCAATACTAAAGCTCTATAACGATAAACTCAAACACTAGAGCTCATTTTATCTTGTTTTTGTTGTTCAGTCATTACCAATTCTTTATGACCCTATTTGGGGTTTTCTTGGCAAAGATACTGGAGTAGTTTGCCATTTCCTTCTTCAGTTCATTTTATAGATGAGGAAACTGAGGCAAACAGGGGTAAGTGACTTGCCCAAGGTCATACAGCTAGTTAAGTATCTGAGGTCACATTTGAACTCAGGAAGATAAGTCTTCCTGGCACTAGGCCTGGTGCTCTATCCACTGTGCAATATTGCTATACCTTTAACTTGTTTGGTATTATAAAATTTTAACATGGAAACAATAAACTAGATGTGTATCAGCCTTTATAGGAATCAAATTTACCAGGGTATTCTAACAAGGGTTTCATTTGTACTGAGAGAATTTCCTTTACACCATTATTTTTTGAAAAAGTCATATACTGTTCAAAAGCAAAGCCTGACTATAAAAAAAAAAAAGACCTAAAATGGCTTGGGAAAAGTGAATAGATTTCCAGCGTTCTGGTATCACAAGAGAAAGGTCTCTTTAACATGTCATTTCATGTATAGTAAAAAGTAAAATTATTACATCTTAAGCATCCACATCACTGATTCCTTACTCAAAAAAGAGTATAAATGATGTAATCTGTGAATAATGGAGAAAAGCAACTACATCACTTTAATTTCAAGGAACAGGAAAAGACCAAAGGTCAAGTAGTTTCCTAGCCAAATATATAACATTTTTCTATAATTTGGCACTGTATTAGTGTTGTTGGTAGATGTTCAAACAGCAACCTGAAATGATGAATGTGAATGATACTCTCGTTTAAATTTCATCTCTATAGCCTTTCTTTAAAAAAAATAGTTATTATTAAAGGGACAATTCTATAAAACTACAGGGTTCTGAATTCTAAGGATAGAGTAGAATCAGTTTTTTTTAAAAGTTCAGAAAATTTGTAAGAACACTTTTAAAATACTGCATTCAAATAAAAAGTACACATTTGTCCTACTCCATGTTACAAAGAAAATTAAGGTGACAATGTAAAGGCTGTCAAAACAGTTTTTAAGCAGCCAGGGTGATGACAAATTTTATTACAAAACTCAAATTTGGTGTTTATAAACATGACAGTTGTCCTAGGAAATGGTTATGTTTCACTTTACACAAACTCTCTTTAATAATACATAATATTAAGAATTTCCATTACATACTTTTTTGACTAGTGATTTTTGAACCAAATAAAACAAAAATGTAGGTGTTAGATGCCAAAAGTTGTGAAGCATTCATACTGATGAGTCTTAAGTTTGAATTTTCCGATGCCTAGAAACTAAAAAAAATTTCCTAAATGTTTATAACATAACACTTATGTATAAATTGGTTGATGTAGTAATGTTACCTTTTCAGAAAACTCTCCAAGATGGCAAAATTATACAATCAACTCGGTCTTTTTATTAACACACTTAAATTAAATTTTTTGATATGCCAAAAACTTCAAAAGTACTCCTTTTTACATAAAGGAATAAATTATCACATGATTCCCCACCCACATTTTTTTCTTAAATGTACACATCACACATATATATACACACACACACACACCTGTTGCCATGTGGTTTTTTGCAAAAACCACACTGCTTGCTGGGAGCCCACATATATTTGTTTTCAGATGAAGAGATGTGTTCTAAGCCTTCTCGTTTTACAGTAGATATGTTATCTGGAATGAACAATGGAGGTTCATCCAGAGAAAAACTTTTACTACTTCTTCTTTGGCGTGGTTGAAGGTTCTTCTCAGATTTTTTAACTTTCAGTTTATCCTCCTCCTTGACAGGTTCTAAACCTAAATATTCTACATCTTCCTTTACATGACTATTAGTTTTCATTGTTGTTAACTGCTGTTGCTTATGGATTTGTTTCTGGTTGGAATGTTGCAAATGTCTAATATGGGCTGAAGTCGTATGGTAAGAGCCTTTAGAACAACCTGGGTGGCCAAGCATTTTATCACGCAAAGAGTGAGTTAACAGTTTAGGGGTCTGTGCCAAATTTTGAGCCTGCGAACCTCTTTTCAATGCTGTATGAGTTTTCACAGATTTGATCTCTGGACCACTACTTTGTGATTTCACATTTTTATCTACTTGTTTTTTTCTAACTTTAACTGGCTTATGAAAATTTTGCTGAGATTCTTCAGCATTCCTTTTCATACTTTTAACTCCAACTCTAGTTTTGCTATGAATTTCTTGTTTCGCTGAAACAATTCTTTTTTTAGTAACCATAGCTATGTTTTGCTTAGACTGAATCAGAGATTTAGTGTTCTTGGACTTAACATTCTTACAATCTAATGAAGAAATATTACTGGGCTGGTTGTTTCTATCATCTTGAATTTCTATTTCATGAGATTCTATTTTAATATTTTCAGCATGCTGTTGTGGACTTTGGTCAGGAGGACCACAGACACTGTTTTCTAAAACACTACTTTCTGATTCATTAGTATTAGTATCTACACTCTTTAAATCAGTTTCATTAAATTCTGTAGTATCTGAGTGGTCATCAGATACTTTAATATCTCCTTCTTTAAAATTACCCAAAAGGTTTCTAGTTCCTTGAAGTGAGGGTACAGCTTTAACAGTAGTTTCCATAGCATCCTGCAATTCTGTATTACATTCAGTAATCTCATCCACAGAACTGGATAGAACTCCACTGTTCTTTTCTACATTGTTTGGAGTTGAACAAGTAGCAATATCAGATGAGGTAGCAACAGCCTCTGCTACCTCCATTTGGTCAACCTCTCTGGAAAATTTTAAGGTTTCCTTTGACGTATGGTCAATACTTCCATTAGAATCCTTTTCTTCGAGGTTAGTTTCACCTTTTTTATTGCTAACAGGATCATTATGTTCAACTTCGTTATCTAAAAGCTTAAAAAATACTGGACTGTCACTCTTGGTTTTACTTTCTTCTTTTTCTTCAGTACTACAAGTCTCTGATAGGTGAGGAGTAGTTAATGAATGGGATGGCACAGCTGTTTCTCCCTTATGACATTTATGTTTAATATCTAGTTTGGCTTCATCCTTAAGTTCATGACAAGGTGATGCTGCTGAATGACTTGAAGAAACTGCTGACACTTCAGGTCCCTCTTCTGTTAACCCAGAATGTCGACTACTCCTTCTAACTTCTGGTTTGGGTGGTGTACAAACACCTTCTTCCTTATTTTGACACCTGTCCAGTTGTCTGACTCCTGTTTTTTGTACAGATGCATTCTTGACAGCTGCTCTCTTTGAATTAGTTAAAGGTGTTGTATTTGAACGCTTGGCTATAGTGCTTTGTCGCAAACTTCGTACTTGTTCTATTACAGAAAAAACAAAATAAGAATAACTTAGCTATTTTAAAGTTTAATTTAATTTCAATACAAACTTGCACTATATGTGATACATCACTTTTCTAAATATTTGGATTTGTAATCATTTATTAATTTTCAAAACAAAAGAGTACTTTTAGATGAAACAGTTTTCTTGTGGTGGTGACATGCCTTGTTATAGGAAATTTTAAAGTTCTCAAAATCATAATTATACAAAAATCCACAGAGTTTGGACTACAACTGAATCTGAAGAGAAAAGATGTTTTACTCAGCCTTCTAACCCCTAAAAGGTATGATGATAAACAAGTAAAATGGCACTCTATACTATTAGCCCATTATTTGACTTGAACAAGGAATAAGCAACATATTAAGACATATAAAGTAAAAAAAAGTCATCATTTCAATGTAAATTTTTAAAATATTAAAATCACCCATCACAAGCAGACTGAGCCAACCTCTACAATCCAATCTCACTGAATTTCTATTTATTATTGCTTTTTTTACTTTTATCATTACATAACATGCAATTTCCCCCAAGATTATATACCAGAAGTTTAGTGAGGAATACATAAATAGCCAGGTTAGAACCTCAAGGGACCATACATAATGTAGAGCAATTAATTAAGTCAAAAGAATTATGTCAGTTCTTCATCATCCAAAATCAGAAATAGGGAAACTATAATAAGTAAATATCAAAGATGATCCCCAAACCCAATTTTAACTTAAGTTTCAATTTTTCCTCCATCCTAGAATGACTAATAAGAAAACTGTGTTTTCCTTTCTTTGTTCTCAATTGTATTGTCTACTAACGGCAGCACCAACAAGCAGTAAAAAAGCCAGAGATCAGAAAACAGAAAAGCTTGAAAAATGCAATTCTCAAGTCAAATATTTAGCTCTGGATAACTACTACTTTATTGTATATGAATCAAAGTAGAAATTTTCAAACTTTGCTTTCTTAATGTTTACCTAGAAACTCATACTCCAAGCTTCAGAATTTCATTTAATATTAAAATCTACAACTAAAATGTTTTCAACCTTAACAAAATACTCGTATGTCAATTAAAAAATAAACTCAAAGATTTCAAGTAATGCTTAGATAAATGCATGTTCCATTTATTACATATACTTCAGATTTTTACTATCATGGAAATAACTTCTAATATTTTACAGACCTGGTTTTTAAAATCTAATCATAAATGAAATAACTGAAATGTTATATTAGTAGTATGTTATTTCAAATCACACTAATTTGTTTACAGAGATTAAGAAGAAAATATTTTCAATATTTTCACTGGTCATTTAGTCATTAAGGAAAAGTTAATAGCACTACTATCTTATCCTTATCCTCTAACTATACATTTGATAACACTACAAATCTAGATTAAGGAACTACATTACAATTATCAAAGATTATTGCTTCCCTTTTCTCAAAATCACATGTAACAATGAAGATAGTTTGTTTTCCTACTCACAATTATAAACAACACATCACTGAAAAATAAACAGTACTAAGTAAAACTAAAATAAAAAAACAAAGCGTATTATTAAAATAAGTTATTGTAAACTTTATGAATTATAAGGCATTGAGCAAACATTGATCCGAATAAGTGTACAACCTAACAAACTTCTCTCTTGGAAATTACAACCCATTTACTAAGTCAGATTCTTTCTCCTCTCTCTCTCAAAAAATTACCTTGTGCCATTAAACGAGGCGATTTTCTTGGTGATCTGACTGAAGTTTCTTCCACTTTGTCCCTCAAATTTCTGTTGGGCAAAATAAGTTCTTCTTCATCAATGGTATCATTACCACTTTCTTTAACAACACCTTCATCCATAATATCATCAAGACCAACAACTGAAAAAACAAAAACAAAAGAAAACAAAAGATCTCAACATGCGAACAAAATAAATCTAAAGGGATTCCTAAAAAGAAATGAGGAACAAAATAGAATTGAAAAGGATGTGAGAAAGTTTAAATAAGACATCACCTCACCAGAAAGTCTAAATCCATTCCGAATATGTATAAAAACATTATTTCCTGAGCTCCAAGGTCTATAGCTTTGCTATTCCTTCATATATATACCACAGAATGATAAATGGAATTACATAATCAAAGCAGAAAGATTCTAATCAATAGATCATCAACAACCAGCTAATTTCTTTGTAAGCAAGACCTACTGGCTAATCAAAATCTGCTTCCAATTCAGATCTATGGGCACAAATTTAAACACTGGTGGAGTGAAGAAGCTGATCTTTAGTCCAATAGAAACCACAGAGATGCTGCAGCCAAGTCAGGGTCAAATTTGCTACAGATTGGGATCAAATGTCTGGGACCCTCATAAGATCCACAAGAAGTCATATTACATTTAGATCCAGCCCGGGGAAAAACTTATGTGTGGGAAAGATTGGTTACAAAGGTAGGAGTTTGTTTCTTTCCAGGAAGACAAGTGTGTCAGAAACTCTTTGACAAAAAGCTTGGAAGGATGGTCAAAACTGGAAGTATTGCATCACAAAACCTATGCCCCAATTCCAGATGGGATTCAGGTTAAAACCAGGTTGGACTGAGATCAGAACTAACTAAGACCACTGAACTGTTATCTATTTAGCACTTGTTATAGATACACTACTTTCCTTTGTAATTAAATATATCATAAAATTCTAGAAATCAACTATATCTTAAATTTAAGGAAAAGGATTGCTGTCCAAATGACATAGAAAGGATTCACTCAAAAAGGTAAGAATGATAAGGAACACGACACAGTAAGGGATTAAAATACCATGGGGTATCAGGCAGCCAGAGTTGGTCAGATCAATTGAGGGAAGATCAGAAAGGAGTCTGATGGGTGAGGAAGATATTAATAGCAAGTATTTTTATTTAAAAACCACCTTTTTGAAAACTGGCCAATGCTTGTGGAACGTAACTTACTTTTTTTTATTATGTGGCTACAACCTAAAAATTAGAAGGGGCCTCAATAGTAATCTGGTGTTGACCTTTGCATACAAGCAAAATAGGCCAATTAGCTGGTAGTCTAGTTATTAAAATTTTTAAAGATATAGAGATCTCCTTAAACTCACTATGCAGTACTGGTTGATTTCACATCTAACAAATTAAGATGTTCATCTGAACAGTTATAGGTAAATTTTTGTATAATAAATCCTATTTTGCCACTGACTTTTCTTATATAATTTCAGATATTTCCTAAATTAAACACCAACCTGAAATAAAAAGCACACAACCATAATTATTTACTTCAATAAAAAGTATTTTTGTAAATCAGTCTATTTGCATTTCCAACCCTCCAATAAGTTAGTCTGATAGAAAATTTTTATCAACTTTGCACATTTTTCATGATAGCTGACATTAATACTGTTAAGATTAACGAAGTCCTTTATATACATTATTTGACTGACTATTATTAATTTCCACTTTGCAGATGCAATAAAGATTAAAAATATTAAATGACTCACCCATAGTCATACAGCTAGGGAAAGGGAATAAGCATTTATTAAGTGCCTACTATGTGCCAGGTTCTGTGCTAAGCACTTTTTAGAAATATTATCTCATTTGATTCTCACCTCACCCTGTAAAGTAGGTATTAATACTATCCACATCTTACAGCTGAGGAAACTGAAGCAAACAGAGGTTAAATTACTTACCTATGTTCACAAAACTAGCCTAAGTGTTTGGGATCTCATCTAAACTGAGGCTTCCTTAAAACTAGGCCCTGGACTCTATCCAACACCAGGCTGCCTAGTAAGCTTTGGAGGTAGACTTACAATCTAGGTCTTTCCTGACTCTTAATTAAGTCCAGAGTTCTTTCTACTACACCAAACTACCCACCTCTTGAGAAATGATGGCTTCAAGGTACAGAATAAAAGATATTTCTTGGACATGGCTAATGAAATAATCTGTTTTGCTCAACTATCCATCTCTGTTACAAAAGTAACAGGCATGGTCACACTTATATGAACTAAGAGCAGAAGGAAAACAATTACTCAATGACAAGAATGTAGATGGAAACCTCCCCCTTTCCCCTCAAAAAATGAACCTAGTAATTATAATAACCAAGAAGTTTGGACAATGAAGAGTTGAAAAGACATCCCTCTTCCTCCCTTCTCTGAAGACATTATGGTTGTGGGAAATTACATATATTGTTAAACTTGGTTGATATGTCAGTTGGTTTTGCTGAACACTACTTTTTACTTCTCTTTTTTCAATACTTTGCTATAAAAGAGCACTTTTTGGTAGGGGAGGAAGAAGGAAAAGATATTCAGAAGTAAGTGTTCCTCCCCTTCCTTCAAGACACAATTTAACACCACCTTCTAAATAAAGTCTTGTCTCCCCTCCTCCCACTGCTACTTCCTTCTCCTAAACTACCTTTTTTTTAAGCTTCTTTATAAGCGTTCTGTACATATTTATACAGACACATATGTGGTATCTCCCTCTTCAGTCTTAGATGTATCCCCAATTTTTAGCAGCATCTGGCACACAGTAGGTGTTTTAATAAATGCCTGCAGATTTACTGGTTGATATAAAATCAAATATCAATTAAAAAGTTTAATAAAAGGCTACCACATGGAAGAAACTCAACCTTGATGCTAGAAGGCAAAACTAGGAGCAATGAGTGAAGTTGTAGAGTCAGATTTAAGTGGAGGTGGGTGGAGATTCTGCACACTTAAGAGTATGTTGGTGTTTTAAATTAAAAGTTGGATTTTTTTGTTTTGTTTTTGGTTGGTTTTGTTTTTTGGTGGGGGAAACAGGTAGGTGTGGATTTTAGATTTTATTTATGAATAAATTTTGAATTTTAACTGAACACCTCAATTCTACAACTCAGATGTAAACAGTAGTTTGTAAAAAGAGGCCATAGGGAAAACGAGTTAATAGCTTTGTGGCATAATCACACAGACACCCTTGACTATTATATTTGAACCCTCTGTTGAGTTAAAGGTAACCCATGGAGTGACCAATCAACAAGCCTTTATTAAATACTAACTTACTATCAGAGGTTCCGAAACTTATTTGGTCTACTGCCCCTGGAAATCTACTTTCTTTAACCCTTTAACGGTTTTTTTAAAAATCTGCATAATTTCAAAAAATATAATTTTTTAAATGATGCATCTTAAATTTAATAATTTATTATAAATTTGTGGGGGTTTTTCCTGCACTGAAATTTTGATGATGCAATACTGTGTTGTGTAACCACATCATATTGTAAACAAGTAATTACAGCACATATTCCTGTTGATGCATGCTGGACTTCCTGACAATGTGTGACATACTTGCCCGCCAACACTTGCTTCTTAAGACCTGTTGGTTATAACTTGCATTTTGTGTTTATTTGGAAAATAATGTAATCACTACAACTTTATTAACTCTGTTACATAATAGATAAAACATGTATGAACAGTTTTTCAAAATTTTCTTCTCTTCTTTGCTTATGCTTTCGACCGCCCCCTTATTTTTATTCAATGCCCCCCAAATGCAGCCACCACCCCCCTGGATCATCCCAGTGCCCCCCAGTTTTGGGAACCTATGTTACTATGTTCCAGGCAGTATGCTAGGTGCTGGAAATATAAAGATAAAAGTTAAGTCAGTGTTCTCAAGGAGCTTACATTTTTTTTTAATGGGGGGAGGAATGGAGAACAACATTAACACAGAAGTAAATGCAAACTATATACTAAAAAAAGGTAGGTTTGGGAAGGGAGGAACTAGCAACTGGGGGCAGGGAGTAAAGTTAATCAGCAAAGGCTTCATGTAAAAAGTGGTGCTTGAGCCAAGTTTTAAAGAAAAACAAGGACTCCAAAAGGTGAGTGAGGAGAGAGCATTCCAAACATCAGGGACAGCCAGTGCCTTTAACATCATAGCTAGAAGACTGAATGTCATGTATGAGGAAATACCAGTTAGGCGACTACAGCTGGACCATAGAGTTCATGGAAGGGAGTAATAAGGGACCATAGAGTTCACGGAAGGCAGTAATAAGGGACCGAACAGTATGGTGGCTGTGTGAGTGGAAAGACTGTAACGTACTTTAGACATATTGTGGAGACAGAATTCACAAGATCTGGCAAATGACTTAGTATGAAAGTAAGAAATCAAAGACGATACCAAGATTGTGGACTGGGTGACTGGGAGGATGGTGGTTACCTCAACAACAATGAAATTTGAAACAGAGGTGCGTTTGCAGAAAAGATACTATTTCTGCTTTGGAGATGTTGAATTTAAGATGCCTATGGAACATGTAGTAAGAAACGTACCCTTGTTAGTGATTTAAGGCTTCAACTCAGGAGAGGCATGGGCTTGATATACAGATCTGCATCATCCTCTTAGGGAGGATAATAAAATAGAATTGGGTGTAGGCTAAGAGGGCAGCCTCTTTAAATGGTCAACTCAAAATTCCCAGACTCTGGGGACTAGTGGGAATGTATGTCATTAACTCGTGCTATTGATGTTATCAAAGAATTCTTAGTCAGACATGGGCTGGAAAAAAATGTAACTTCACACAAAAATTCTACAAGAAAAAAAGTGATGAACAGAAACAAGTTTATAGAAAACCTGCTAAGACCATGCAGATTACCCTAAGGTCATTTAGGGATGAAAAAAATCATGAACCTTATCACCAAAAATAAGCAGCTAGGTGGTAGAGTGGATATTCAGCTGAGTCAGGAAGACCCAAGTTCAAATTTGACACCAAACACTTAATGGCTGTGTAAACCTAGGCAAATTACAACCTTTGTTTGACTGTATTTCCTTAATTTTAAAATTAGAATAAGAACAGCATCTACCAGATAGGGTTGTTGTATCAAGTAAGACATTATTTGTAAAACATTTATAGTATAATGCCTGGTGCATAGTAA